CTTAAAACGAGCAATTCAGTATTCTTATTCAAAACACCAAACACCCGCCACTGGATCAAAATATGCCCGCACGGCGCAATCCGGCACGGTGGGAAGCCCCTCTCGTACAATTTAAATTACGTACATAAGCCAAAAATAAAAAAATATGATTTAGAACATTTAACTTTTTGTATACAGAATCCACTGTTTTTAAACTAACCTGACCAAAAAATAAAATAAAGTAGTAGCCGACAAAAAAAGTTCCGTGGAAATTTGCTATGTCACGTTTCATAAAACATTAAAAATAATCGACTTCATTTGAATATTTAAAATGAAAAGTACCGGGGGACCGAGCCGTGGCTCAGTATGTATATTTCGATTGTAAAAGCAATATAAAGGAAACTCGTGTTTTCTTTATAACTAATTTCGGCTTTTATTGTTTAAGTTTCAGTGGAATTTTAATTTACTATGATGTAACTTTAAATGGACAATGCAACACATTAATTTATTTTAATCTTACACATTTCTGTTATTGTAAATAAATCATAGAAATTAAAAAAAAATAAAAGTAGTATTTTTTTAAATACGTTCCTAATGAATGAATTAATATGCGATCACAGGTTAATACAGTAGCAATCAACTACACAGCATTAAAACAGCACAGTGTATGTAAGGGGTGTGATTTATTTCTTGGTACTAAATTAAGTCATTCTTCAAGTATAAGTAAAACTTCAGCATGGGCATACTCTCTAACGTACTATCATATGATGGATTAGCTGAAGGCAGATAAGTCCGATTCAAGCTTATATTGCTTACTATAAAGATTGTTGTAATACAATTAACTTTAACTAGTGGTCGTCCAGTGGTCGAAAACTCGACCAAAAATATGTAATGTACAGGTTTAAAATGATTTAGGCCTAAAACTTTTTTTCCCGTGTGAGTAACTAAGGACTTCTGGATAATTTAAATATGATATTTATATGTTTCTTACTCAGGAACAATGCCGTTCCGGGACACTATACCGGGTGTCCAAAACCACCCGTACACCCCTTTCAAAACGATGGAAACCATTTCTTACAAACAAAAAATAATACAGAACTAGCTAAATTGGGCACGGTCTACCAAATGGTGATAATTTCAAATCCAAAATCAAACCGGAAGTGGCTTTTTCAGACCGGAAGTTGACTTTTTTAAATGTAAACTACCAATTTTGATTACAGAATCGGATTCTTCGTTGAAAAATACGTAACTTTTGTCTAAAACATTTTTTGAAAAAACTTGTTTTCTACCTCTAATGCCCCATTAAAGTCAATAATTTTTGGTCATTCATCTGTCAAAGTTACTCGAAACAATAATAGAGAAAAACAAATAACAAATATTACATAAAGACATGTGATAAATAGTATCAGCTGTTCATTGTAAACACCTTAGCAATTGAGATAAAGCTGGTGTACACATTGCTTAATTTCATTTTATTTTAAAAATAAATAATTTATTTTTACATTTAAGGAGTCATATGTAACAATAAATTATAAAAAAAATTCAACTTAGCAATGTGTAGACCAGCTGTTACTCAATTGCTAAGGAGTTTAAAATAAACAGCTGATTCTATTAATCATATGTATTTATGTAAACTTTGTTATTTGTTTGTCTCTATTATTGTTTCAAGTAACTTTGACACATGAATGACCAAAATTTATTGACTTTAATGGGGGATTAGAGGTAGAAAACAAGTGTTTCAAAAAATGTTTGTGACAAAAGTTAAGTATTTTTCAACGTAAAATCCGATTCTGTAATCAAAATTGGTAGTTTACATTTAAAAAAGTCAACTTCGGGTCTGAAAAAGCCACTTCCGGTTTGATTTTGGATTTGAAATTATCACCATTTGGTAGACCGTGCCCAATTTAGCTAGTTCTGTATTATTTTTTGTTTGTAAGAAATGGTTTCCATCGTTTTGAAAGGGGTGTACGGGTGGTTTTGGACACCCGGTATAAATGGACGTTAACGTGATTATAAATTTGCATTTTACATAGTCAAAATACAATAGGTATTGCGCAACCGTGATATGTTAAGTCATTAACCTTGGTTAACTAATAAAAACTACACCGTATGCTTACTCAAACAAAACAAAACTTGCTTACTGTACAGCAATAAATCACGTAAAGAACAAAACAAAATGAAAATGTAGACTAGAAGACTACTGATACCGTAGTCATCCTAGGCTACTACTACATGATGTTTCAGAACAGAAGTATGGGGATAAAAATATTAAATAACTCATAAAACACCATAAAATCATAGTACTGTACTTAAGTCTTTCTGGTAGTAATAACAATGATAAAAATAAGATAAAGATAAAAATGATGTAAAACACCTCTTATTATTTCTCTTTGTTCTATTCTTTCTTTGGTTTCATCTACATCCACAAGTTGTCATGGTTACTAATCACCCAACGACCCAACCACAAAATATTGTAGTGTTGTGACAGCAGACAGAAGCAGACGATTGTCAGTATGTCAGTCAGTCTGTAGGTGCTAGCGTATAGGTTGACCTTGACGATACTGATCGATATTTCTCCGTTTTGCTTCCATCTTATTTTTGTTAAATGAACTGTAATATTTCAATAATTGGGAACCTACTGCACCTAAAAATTACCGTAAATAGTTAAATATATCGTTCATATCGAAATATTAGACTGAAAAACACAGTTAATAAAACATTTTCTTGGGATTTGTGAGGTTATATAATATATAGGCATCATGATGATGCGACTCCAGTTAAGCGAGGTTCTACTGTATTTGCAAGTTAAAGTTACAAATAGAAAACCCATTATGGTTTGTATTCAATGACCGATGTATTATACAAAATAAATTATAACTCATTTTGATATTAATCAGCAGCATTTATTACAGCTTGCAGCACTTATTGGTATATATAAATATCCCAGTTACTATTAGTAAAAAAATAAAAATAAAACACAAAATTGTGTGGCCATTCAATTTTTATAAACACAGTGTTAAACATTTGACTCTGCAGAATACCGGATGGTAAAGAGTGTTTGGTTTCAAGAAAATAAAATAAAAAATAGTTTAACCTGCTTTACTATTTATTTTGAAAAATAATAGATAGGAAACCATAAGGATAGGTATGGGATTGAACTGAAATAATTGCAGGAAAACTTAAATCGTAAAGTCCACAATCTGTACATTGTTAGAGAGCGAGAGAGAGAGAGAGGGAGAGAGAGAGAGAGATTTGATAAGGAATCTGAAAAGTAAACAAATAATCGTTTCTGGCGTTCGTTATATTGTACCCCCCTCCCCCCCCGTATTTGCACTCGTGACCACTTTTTGTTGCTTCCTTATCATTCTTCCGCCCCAAAATATAATTCCTGTAATAGTTTGTTTGTAAAATTGAAATTATTATAAAAATATTTTATCTTTCGAGTGTAGTTTCATGGTTATTCTTATCAGATAGAATAATATCGTTGTCATATGTAATAGTTACTCCTTCGCGTTACGCAATTGCGTAAAAAACAGTTCCAGTATCTCGGACAAGATTCACGTATATTTCTCGAGATAAAGAAAATCCGTATAGTTCCCGGTCCGTGGAAACACTGTAAATACTAGGATAAAAAATATTGTATAAAGGAGAAGTTGACTAAAATTTCAACTGAAGGAAAAAAAATCAAAATAACTTAAAATATGAGATGATGAACGGGTAGGATCAAGATTCGACCAATTATAATTAATTAATATTCGACGATCCTTATTAGAGGTGCATCATATTTATTTGGAGTATGAACATGTTTAAACATTAACACGTAGTTAATCACTATCCCAACACAAATAGTAACAAGGAGTAAACGAAGGTTACAGACCGCTGGGTTTTACCGCTACAAAGTAGGGTAGGGTGCCGTACTGGCTACACTACTCCACGATAGAACACACGATGAGACAGTCTCCGCATTGGTATTGCAGTTACGCTTATCGACACAGGCAGCAGCACCGGTTTGCTGTTTTCATACGTATAAAGTGCACGGGAAGCCATACCTGACTGGCTTATGGGAGAGCTGACTGGCTTTCGGGCGGGTGACTGCCACACCGAGTAAATTACCAGCGCACTGACTGCCAAACCGGGTGGGCACAAAAGTATATATATATATATATATATATATTTATATATGTGTCCGTTAGCGCGATAACTCGAGCAAAATTGACCCGATTTCGATGAAATTTGGTACAAACGTGTAAACCTACATTTATTCGAACGAGTTCGCGAACCAGCATAATCGGACCATGGGATCAGGGGTTTATGGGGGGTTTTATGGGGTAAAAATGGGTTTTTCTCATTTTTGCCCCTAAAAACTTTAAATTTCTAAATTTCTCTCTAGACCATTTTGAAGAGCTTAAAAAAACAAATAATTTAGTATATTGAAGTTTTTTTGAATGTTCATTGACTACGGAGAAAATTCAAAAAATTGTAAATTTAAAATTCCCATGTTATTCTTATGGAGAATAAATAAACTGTTCTAGTTTGCTTGTTTATGGATATATTTTAAGTAATCAAATTTGGCAATTTGGCTTATTTCATACTAAGCTATCAATATTTCAATTGAAAAAACACATCTCAACATCTTCCCCGTAGCAGCAAACCTAACTACTCACTAAAATTAATGTTATTTAAATAGGATATAAATCCGTAAATTTTTAGGGAATATTTTAGTAGAAATCAAGCCGGGTAAATGGAAATTCGCTTAGTATGCAGGTTTGCTGCGACGGGGGTATATTTCTAGTTGTCGAAGCCAAACACAAAATTCCTTTCCATCGGAATTGACAGATGACATTTTTTGTTACCTTAGCCTTTGTTCTTGCAGAAAGATGTTAAAATCCTCCTAAGGTAACAACAGTTCAATAATTAAATATTCTAGTTCTTGCCACTAAGAAATACGTAAAATAATCTGAATGTATTAAATTATTTTCAACTTTACAATGCCCAACTAACAAATACTTAACACTTCACAGTGTGACTCCGGCGCTGGCTTTGGTTGTTCTCTTGGCTGCCACGTTGTCTTCTCGTATTGGTAGAGGTCCATTGTGGCAAACGTTCTACTTAAGACACCAGGAGGATTGCAGAGCGCATGGCTGGACTAACCTGCTATATCTCAACAATTATATTTATACTGACAATCAGGTATGCACACATTACAGTCTCTCTGATCACAATTTTTAGGTAGGTGGCCTCAATGAATCTTTGGGAGTCCTCTGGCCTGTGCGTGCAAGGTAAGGCAAGGCAAGAGGTGAGCCAGTACATTGCAAGATAATAATAGTTTTACGATTATATAATATTTATTGCTGAATATAAACATTTTTTAATGTATAGGGATCATCCGCCACACTACCAACCCACTAAGTCAAATATTTCAAACTAATTATGGTTTCTTTTTAGTCTTATGATAGCTTGTTTTTGTTTAATTCTTCACTTAAGACATTGAACCAATTTTGTATCTATATTTTAAGCTGGAATTGATTGCAGGGCGAGTGTTTGTATAGAATATGGAGTGAGAGATACCTGTGTAGTAGCTGTTTCTTTGGTCAGAACTATTTACTAAAACCACAATCAAGATCCATATTACATAGTCATCAAAACATCACAATTCTACCCTTAATACATTGTTTCCTGTTGCAGTGTGTTTCTTTCACCTGGTATTTGTGTGTTGACATGCATCTTTACTTTTTCTCTCCGCTTGTGCTGTTTCCACTGCTACATTACAGGAATTTCTCTAGAATTGGCTTGCCTCTACTCATTATAGCTGCTGTTTCTGTCAATTTTCTAGTCGCATTTTACAACAAACTACCTGCTGGATCGCTTATAACAAGGTACTGTACCTTACCTCACTGTTTGATTTTTCATGATTGACAATTAATTCTTGTTGTTGAAATAAGGTAGGTAGACTTAAAATACCGTAACAAATAGATTTTTCCTACAGTTACCTAACAATGTACATGTTCTCTCACTGATTTGAGAAAGCAAAGTGGCGAATTCGCTCATCAGTGAGACAATTTTAACATTGTCTCACTCTAATTACTTTGTCTCACTCCAGATTTTCAACGTGAAGGCACGAAATAGTGAGCGCGTAACATGCAGGCAACGTCGTATGCGTGCGAAATACGTTGGCAGCACTGGCTGTAAATCAGCTGGTCAGCTGTTGTACTGTTGCATTTGTCACTTCACATTAAATGTTATATTAAAAGTTCACTTCTGTGTAAAAATAGGTTATGTTTCTTCACCAATTTATTTATTTTATGGTAACTGTAGGAAAAGTATAATGTGCAACTCGAGTTCAAAGTACAATTGCCTCACTCAAGAAACCATTCCTCACTCGCCTACGGCTCGTGAGTAAGGATTTCTCTCGAGTGAGTCAATTGATCACTTTTCTCACTAGTTGCACAAATAACTATTTTCATATTTTTACCCTTAAAACAAGAAAACGCCAAATTTTCATTGCATAAGTTACATTGTGTAGAGTTAAAAAAAAAAACAATTTTGTTCATTGAAGCTTGTTAAGTACAATTAAAGGTTTTGGTGAAAATTCAAAAAGATTTTACTTTTAAAATTTCCCTGTGTTATTCTTATGGAGAATAAATAAACTGTTGTAGTTTGCTTGTTTATTGATAAATTTGAATCAGATTGACAAATTAATCAGTTTAGTTCATAATATAGGTATTATTAATATTAAGCAAAAAAAACTGTTACTATTCCCTGTATCAGCAAACCTAAGTACTCACGGTAACCTATAAATTAAAATAAGGAATAAATCTTACATGTTTTTAAAGAAAATAGTTTAGTAAAAATCAAATCCGACAATTGGAAATTAGGTTAGACTGTAGGTTTGCTGCAAGAGGGGTATTTTTTTATTGTTTTTTACTTTTTGTCTGAATAACACAGATTTTTGTCAAGTTGGATCGGCCGCGGTACTGGCTGGTCCGACTAAACGAGATTCTATATTATATTATAATTAATATTAGTACTGTTATTAGTATAGTAATACAAATGTAATACGGTGGTACGGTATTAGATTCTTTGCATTGACTTGGCTAATACAATGGTGTTATTCTCAATTTGTCCCAATAAAATACACGATTAATTTGACTTGTGTATTTATGTAGGATTCTCAATTTTTTTTATACAGAATGAAAGGTTTATTCATTGCTGTTTACACATTGTCTTGTTAATTGGTTTGACTTTGGCCATGTTTCATCATAGAGATTTGAGGACAGCAGACAATTACCGGCTTGAGTACACAACAACACACACAAGAGCAGCTCCCTGGCTTGTGGGTATCGGACTAGGATACATGCTTCATCGTCTGAAAGACTTCAAGTTCAAAATGTCACAAGTAAATCATACATTCCTCGATTCCTCCTATCAATTGCTGGATTCTTTAATGATTATGTCGGTTTCAATTAGATTCTTAACCCAGCCCTCCCTTTTTGATAATTTAAAAAATTTCAAAAACATAAACTAACATATTTTTATGAAGTGGTATTGGACAACAGGCAACAGGTATGGCCTTTATTTTAAAATACAAATTGTTTTCTGTTTTAAGTAATTATAAGTTATAACTTAGATTTAGTTCCCAGTTTTCTACTGTTAAAAACATTTCCTTAAATTTGAAATCCAAGTGGCGTATAACTTTAAAAAAAAATTATAAAGTTCAGCTAACTTACTGTTATCTAGAATACTCTAGAGTCCATGCTATTTATACACAATAAAATATTTCTCTTCGACTAACTCTCTGAAAAAAGTCCTTCAATAAATCCAGGCTATGTTTTGTGAACTATAACAAATTTCCCATATGGAAATAAGCTATTGCTGTAGGTCTCATGGTAAGACTTGGATCTGCTGGTACTGATTTACCTTTTGGTGGACAGGTGATGGTGGTCACAGGATGGGTCTGTGCTGGAGTTCTAGCTAGTGTCAGTGTTGTCGGAGTGTCATACTTTCACCAGGACTATCAGATGTTGCATTACAACCCTCTACAATCCGCCTTGTACATCAGTCTACACAGGGTGTGCTGGGCTGTAGCCGTGGCTTGGCTCATATTTGCTTGTGAAACTGACAATGCAGGTTGGTGTTTAATGTGTAGTTTAAATTAAATCAGTTTCGGCCCTTGAATTGAACCTGTAACTTTCAGATTTAAAGGCGAGGTATTTAACTGCTTTTTAAAATTGCTTGTATTACAGCAATTTGAGACTTGTGTTTATGATATAGATTGGTGACGAGCATTTTTAAAATAACACAATAATCCAATTTTGCCGAGCACCTAATCAACAGCAATCACAGTTATTCCAGCCTGAATGGAAATTAAAAACATTTACACATTTGTACAAAAAGTTAACCAATGTTTAGAGTAAAGTGCCATAATTAGGGTAACTTGACTAATGCACATTTGACATATCAAAGCCAGAACATGTTTTCTTTTAGTGCTGTAAAGTTTGTGATGTACTCTTTTGTTATTAATTGATTGAGTTTAATGGTATTTAAATGATTGGCATTTATGTGATTTTAAAACTTTATTTTACTTTTGCTCTATCTTCTGATTTTATTACTAGTGATGATATTAGTGAATAAATTATAATTACGATCCAATAGGTCTCTTAAGAAGTTTTCTGGCCAGCAGATTATTCCAGCCTTTGGGAAGGCTTGCATTCAGTCTTTACATGGTTCACGGAGGGATACAATATGCAATGGTGGCGTCTCAACAAGCGCCACAATATTTCAGCTCTTTGTATATGGTAATCAAGCCTTTTCCTGTAGCAATTTACAATATATTTCTTTAAAAGTTATTCATATCATACATTCTTACTGTTTGTAGCAAATTTCCCATATAATGATATTACCGTAGACCTCATTGGTTTGGTAACACCTGGACTCGTGTCCAATTTACTTCTTCCTGATAATGTCCCCAGAACCCAAAAACAACATCCATTCAAATTCATTTATATTTCCGTTAGCTTGCTAACTCAACAGAAAATTATTTGATTTTGATGAAAATTTGAACAAACGTTCAAACTTGTGTGGTTTTATGGGAGGTTAGATGGGGTAAAAATTGGTTTTTCCCAATTTCTTTCTATACCATGTTGTAGGCCTTAAAAAACAAATAATTTAGTAGATTGAAGCAATGTTGTAGACTTACAACTATAGAGAAGATTTAGGAAAAAACTTAAATTTAAATACCCCGCAACAGCAAACCTGCAGACTAAGCGAATTTCAACTTGTCTGTTACATTTTTACTAAAATATTTCCATACATAAGATATATTTATTCCCAATTTAAATAACATTGGATTTAACAAGTACTTAGGTTTGCTGCTACAGGGAAGGTAAAAAGTGTTTTATGTACAAACGTCAAAAGTATAAGATGAAATAAATAAATTTGCCAAATTTTATCAACATATATCCATAAACAACTACAACAGTTTTCATTTTCTCCTTAAGAACAACATGGAAATTTTAAATTTACACTTTTATGAATTTTCTCTGTAACATTTGGCATACAATCATGCTTCAATATACTAAATTGTTTCTTTTTTTTTAACTCTACAAAATTGTTTGAAATTAATTCCAAAATTTTATGTTTTTAGCGTCAAAAAAAAGAAAACCCCATTTTTACTCCATAAACCCCCCCCCCCCCCCCCATAAACCCCCGTTTCCATAGTCCGATCATGCTGGTTTGCGAACTTGTTCGAATAAATGTAGGTTTATACGTTTATACCAAATTTCATCAAAAACTTTTCAATTTTGTTCGAGTTATCGTGCCATGGGACAACATATATATGAATTTGAACGGATGGTTTTTTTGGCCTCTGGGAACCTCAAAACGAAAAAGTAAATCGGTCCTGGGTCCAGGTCTTACGAGACCTATGGTAATAACTTATTCCCTATATTGGAAATACGCTAAAATTATACATTATCTATATACAGTATTAATAGGCAAGCATGTTTCTTTAAAACCTCAGCTGCATTTCAGGGAAAATCTATACACCCTTATAGAAAATATTTTCCTGTAGATGTGCAGAATCCTTTTATAGATTAAAATAGGCTAAAAAATAAGCACACAAATTAATTTGGACCTTTAAAAATATATTAATAGGCAAGCATCTTTAAAACCTTTTTTCTCAGCTCGTGTGCATCGCAGGGAAAATCTACGGACACTGATAGAAAAATATTTTCCTGTTGATGTGCAGAATCTCTTTATAAATTAAAATAGGCTAAAAAATAAGCACAACAAATGAATTTAAAACTTTGAAAAATTAATATGGTCCTATGGGTTGCCAGGCTGGTGACAAAATAACAACGAAATATGTTAAGAGAAAATCAAAACAAATGGAAGAAATTAAAAATAATTAATTAATTTTAATTCTTTAAGAATTAAAGAAGAAGAAAATAAAAAGAAATTAATTACATGTTTTATTTACAGCGTGGGGTGAAAATAGAGAATCCTGTACATTACATATTTTTGGTTGAGTTTTCGACCACTGGACGACCACTAGTTCTTATTAATAGAGAATATGTATGTTGTAGTTTGCATAAATGGATATATTATATGCATTTAATTAAAACACACTTTACCACTCTCCCTGTACAACAAACCTATTTTTTTAATAGCCTAGAGAAAAAATCTGACAAGTAATGTTGATATTATTTTTCAAGGCTCGAGATGTCTTGGGTGAGCTAATGTTGTCGATAGGTCAAGCTGTTCTCTTGAGTTTGAGTGTGGAAGCTCCTTTCATCAGACTTGAAAAAGCTTTCTTCCAAAAAGGTGTGTATTATGGTAAAGGCTGTCTCAACATAAGTTAAGACAGACTACCTGACCAGAGGGTAGAGCTGGACAATGCCTATACTGTCCCTCCGATGGACTCTCCCGACCCTTGGAGTAAATCCCACTAACCACGCTTCACTGTATACTCCACTTAAATGCGTAAATATAATTATTAATTAATTTAAAATACAATCAATTCGTTATATCTGAAAATAATGTACTCTTGGTTATCACAAAACAAAATTTTCCATGTTGGTCCCATGTAAATTGGCCTACTGAAGTATTAACAAACTATGGTTTGATTGAAGTTTTAATAAACTAAAAGGATTGATTGATCGCATAGGCAATATGTAACTGTAAATTAAATCAAATAACTATCCATCATCCAGGTTGGGAACTGGAGATTCGGTGAGTACCTATCAAGTTGAACTTGAGTTTTGATAACGGCACCAAACGCCTACAATCGAGGTTTCCACTTATTAACACTAGGAGGATTAAACATTATTTTTAATCCTCCTAGCATTTTAACGGCGTTTCAAATGCTGTTGTGTCATTAAAAAATCACAACTACACTGGGTGATCGTGGATGTTGGTGCGATCTCGGATATAATTCTTTTCCTTCTGTCAAGAAGCCAATTTGTTTTTAAATTTGTTAAAGTCAAGCACTTGAAACAATACAGGTAGCTTATTAAAAGAGCTGTATTTGGAGGAATTCCAACAAGACTTTGTTCTATTTGTCTATATGGTTCTAGTCAGTGGTTCAATATAAAATTCGAGTGAAAAGCCCACTGAACTGTTATAGGAGACTCAGTTTTTGTAAACTCTGTCACACAGGAAATCTTATGCTGCATAGCCATCTTAATTACTAATAACTAACAGATAGTAATACAAAATGGCTGCCCATTGTTGTGATAACTTTTTTGGCCGTTTACAGAACCAAGGTCAAAAAAACTTTGAAATTTCCTCTTTTGAGTGGTGTAAAATTTATGTCTGCCCGATTTATACTTTTTGAGATACAAAGTCATGAAGTTGGGTTTATATTTTTGAATAGCCCTGTATATTAAAACTCTGTAAATTATAGTGCAAGAAATGGTAAGAATCTCAAGATTTTTGAAAGTTACCCTACAAGACCCGGCCCCCAAAGCTTTAGTCCCGCCATACACCTCACAGCTTTCTGTTGAAGTACTAGAAGTTTATTTATGTTTGTTTTGGTAGTGTTTCCCCATATTTTGATATTAATTTATATTTTTTATGATTACAGCAGTAGCAAAGGATTCTTTCAGTTTAAATAACAAGGAAACAAAGAGAACAAGGTGTATGATTGAGGATAAAGCATAGTAAAGTAGTGAAAATAATGAAGCAACCAACTGTGATGACTATGACTATACTGTAGATTGTGAACTGGACAGGGCTATACGGGTCCTGGTATTATCTTCTGTTCATGGAACAAATAACAGTACACTCCAATCATGTATATTTTGTATTAAATATGATTTTGTACATTAAAAATGTAGGCTATATATTTTATTTTACACCTAGGTTCTTTTATATTTTCTCAATCCTAATTATTATGCCTATGGGCAATCAATAAAATTATTTCACAGAATCTTAATAGGTCCTACTCTTTCAAAATAATCGGTATTCAATAATCCATATGTTATACATGGTTCTCATCAAAACTCAGACTGAGTTTTGATAACAAAAAAATGGCATGTGCTTCGTCACCAACGCCATAGAACCATGGGGAGTCATACCTAGGTCCACCGCGGTCAATCTCCCCCGCGCTAGTTTCCGCAAGGTCTGCGGGCGGCGGAGCATGAGACCAACAATCCCTCCCACTTGCCTCTGAGTCGCACAGTTTGGTTTGGCCGACCTAACCAAACGGTGCGGCGGACAACTGGAGACTACTTCACTCGTAACTACGCCTGCAAAATGTAGGGTACTTTATCAAAACACTGCTGTATTGCGGGCTGACTAATGAGACCGTTTTCTGTAAAGTAGTAATTGTACAAATTACCGTACACTTGCTTGGCTACGAAAAATAATTATTCAATTATATCTATTCCACGATTATTAATGGTTTTGAAATCCATACACCACTTTACTCACTAATATTAATGGTACAGATTAAGCACATAACATTAGAATGATAATTCACTTTAAACACAAATGCAAATTGTTAACGACAACATTTAATTGAAGACAAATCAATCAAATAACAATAAGCCGTTTAATTATTAACACAAAAGGTTTCGTATGATTAGATTATGCATACTGATAAACCACCTATGGCCATCTATAATAATATTTGGGTTTTCTTTTCCGAGTCGGGTTAGCTCTTCTACTCGACCGATTTTCATAATAATTTTGGCCTCAAACTAAAGGTATGGACGCACTACAGATTTGCAATCAAGAATCGGCATTCATTTTTATTTACGTATATTTCGAGTTATGCACAAAATGTGTCCCTGTACTTTTCTTATGGGAGTTAAATTAGTTTTTTTAAATTCGTTTGGCTCTTCTGCCCATCCCATTTTCTTAATTTTGGTCTTAAAATAAAGTTATGCAAGCAAATATTTGTGATCAAACATAATCATTAATTTTTCTAATGTATTACCCAACGAAAAAATTTAATTTTTTTTACTTCAATTAAAGATGTATTTCAGCAGCTCTAACTAAATTACCCTATATGTTTTGGTCTAAAAACCTTTAGTGAAATACCAGCTTTCATTTGAGCTATTTATTATTAAGATTCCGATCTTAATAATCGTACCTAAAGCACTGTAATCAGTTAACTTCAAGATACTGTATCGCTCAATCAGAAAACATAAATTTGATTATATCTTGGATGTGGAATTTAGTTTGTGATATTTTTACTCAATTCAAATTACGTTATTCTATTTGTTTTGACCTAAGAACCTTCAGTGAAATACCAGCTTCCTTTTGATTTATTGATTATTAAGATTGGACGTACCTAAAGGACACAGCTAAATCACGAACAACACAAATTGTTCAAAAAATAGAGTTATTTATCATCGATTTATAGTCAAACGATCTTGCTTGCAACCTCAACAGTAACTGTCGACTTTGACGGGTTTCATCTAGTCAATCTTTAAAAAATCAAACTTTCATAATTATTTGCAAATCTACACAAATTAGGCTTACCAATGACCTATTAATTAATAAAATCGGTTTAGTAGAACTGTAGATTTAATTGTACAAAGTTTAACAACAACATCTTTCATTCAGTATTTTCTCACTACTATAAATTGGGAGGTTGCTTAACGTTTTTGAAAATAGAGTAACTTTTAAATGGTGAGGAAATCGACCAAAGTAGACGGTCATATTCTTGATAGAGAATAAAATTTCCTACAAATTACTATCATGTATTTCCGGAAAATACTCAATAAAGACAGTCTAAAGTTGGCTACAAATATAAACTTGGAAAAAAGGTGTTTTAAATGTATTATTTTTTATTTTGATTTTTTCTCCTCAAAAAGTAATAAAATCACACTTTCATAACTATTTGAAAATCTACACGAATCAGGCTTTCCAACGATTAAGAAACAAAATCGGTCCGGCAGGAATTTTAAATTTTATGATTTTTAAATAGATTTGTTTTTCTAACAAAATATATGGATGAAGTATAATTCAAAACATGCTATGTAAATTAATGGTATGTTTCGGGAATAAATAGTTTTATTTTAAAACGAGCTGTTGGCCCGTCCTACGTACGGGAATCGAGCAGTCCATTAAAATTGTATATAGTTGTATCAATATGTCTATTCCTAATTCAAGCTTAGTTTAAAGCAGTTCAAAGTTTATTGTAAAGAAAAAGCTACCAAGATTAATTAAAATTTCTGGTCGTTGTTACTTTCCCAACCTGTCCTCAAAAATTCGGGTGGTAAAACAATTTTCATAAGCTTTCTTTTGAAGTCTCGTGAGCTTCGATTCGTATAAAGCAATGGTTATAGAATCTTACTTAATTTCTATAATCAATGACAAAATCACAGAGTAAATAAACTAACCTCATAGTTCTTAGAATATTATTCAACCAGCTGTTAGTTATAACAAATTATATTGCACTAAAACAAACTAAAGATTTTATAGACTGTTGAAAAAATAAATTAGAACATCTATTATTTTAATTTTACTTTGTATATTTAAATTATCTCTCGTCCTCTAACCGAATAAATAAACGTATCAATTATTAAAGCATTACACATAGTATAGAAAGTCAACCCTACGTATGTCATTTCATTTTCATCCAAATGCTGAATTTGTGTCGAAAACGCTGATTGTTTACAGCTGTTACGTTAAGCAAATTGTATTATACCAAAACCTAGAGTAGAATGTTAGCGTCGGCTGCTGGACTTTTTAAAATTTTAAGCTTAATTAAAAAAAACTGAAACCCTAAACTAAAATTGTGGCTTCGACATTCCCTAGTTCCCAAAATTGGCTTCTTTCAAATCTTTCTTTCAACGCAAAAACGATGAAAATCCGTCAATTGGTTGATTCAGAATCGTAAAATAAAAAAACCCTGTTACGTTTCAATATATAAGATAACGTACACATTTTTGTAATATTCCTGGAATTAGTTTGGGTTTTCATTACTCGATACTTAAATTATATAAATAGCCAAAGGCAAGACAACGTCTGCCGGCTTCAGCTAGTTTTTTGATAATCATATCTCCTCTCTGGCATTATTTAATTCGAAAATGATTACATTGCATTATAAAGTGATTTCATACGTTGTAGGCCCACTTATTATGTCTTACAGTATACCCCTTCAATCATGGTTAAAAGATTTAATACACCTATAAAGAGTTATTAAATTGTGAGTGAAAATAGAATGATAAGTATTTGTTATTTAATTAGAAGAAGATTTACCTAAAAATGGGGCCCATTGGCTTCCTTATGGGGCAAGAATAAGTGACCCAATGTCCCCAGTGGCAATAAGCAAACTTTTTTTAATTAAAAGAAAACTGCTTTTTGTGGTGGGCCCTCCATAATAGTAGGCTATTTTAGGACGCATTCATCCCTTAGCCACCTTCCTAAGATAAATAAATTATTACATATGAGATTATGAATTTCAAAATGGAAAAGAGTGTTTCTTCAGCGTGTAGATTCTTAATATAATAATAATACGACATATTATAATAACGAATAATATGACAGATTAAAGCGTTTTCCGTACGTAAATGTGAGTGAGTGTATGTATAATTGAAATAACATAAATTATGGAAGCAGCCAGATTGGGTAAAATAAAATATGTAAACACAACAATTCATTTAATTTAAATAACAACCCCTAATTATTCGGTCCACAATGGAATGACATGCTGGGCACGTTATCGGTACTCTTACTTGAGTACCATCTCCATTAATAGAGAATAACTGTTGAGAGACAAATGCCCTCAAACACCAAACACCTACTACAAAACACGGGGTGGCCACAGGGGGTGCAAAGCCTCGTGGGCTGCATAACACCGCAGAAGCGGAGCGGCGCGGCGGTTCGATGACCAGAGGGTCCAGTTTTGCGAGCAAGAGAACAAAGAGTTTGCATTCCTTGAAACCCTAACAAAGACTGTTGTGTTGGGGTGCGAGCTTTCTCTCGGTGGCAGGTAGCTACAGCCGCGACAAGGGTCGCTGCAGTTGTAGCTAAATAATATCATCGACGCATTGACGGTAGTGGATAGATATTGTTAAAATAAAAATGAATTATAATAATTATCATAGTTCAATGTCCTAATTAAGAGCTTAATTTTTACGCAAAAACCTTATATCAGACAAATGTGCTTTATGGACAGATTTCACGTTTAAGTCCCTACCACGTGCAACACTTGGTTTTTAGCAAATTTCCCTATAGGAAATCAATAGTTTCTTAGCAAACGTATTGACTGTTTACAATTAACATATGTTCTTCTTCTCACTTTTAGTTTCTGCCAACAGTGGTTGGAATTTCATAACAGTGTTTGTTTCCCATGTTAATCTTATGGAGAAATGCGAAACTTTAAATGACCTCTGGGCCTCACTCTCTAATTATTTCCCTAAGCAGAAAGTTTCCTGCACAACTTAACGTTACGCTCTCTAACGAGGCTATGCAGAAAATCAGGCAGTTCTTAAGTAATGTAAACAAAATGTTACCATTGTAAAAAAATTATAGAAATTTGTAAACGTATTGGCAACAATGGGTAGTACCATGCAGACTACATTATCATTGACGAAGATCAACATGGACAACCTAATGCGGCTATAAGTGGGAAATATTCGTAGAATACACTAAAAAACTAGATCAGCTTTTGAAAAATGATAAAATATTTACAAGAAATGTTGATTATATGGAACTGTTAGGTACGTGATCTATGAGTTGAGTCTTTTAAACTCATCGGAAATTATGACTTTTATTAGGTTTTAAATAAGTTATTTGTTTTTAAACAACTACCATACTTTACTTCTTCGCAATTGCTCGATTTCGAGCAACATGTACACTAGTAAATGTTTCATTTCAACCAAGTGTTTGTAGCAAACTGTTAAACTGTCAAACTTCCATTACTATCCAAACTATCCATTATTTCGTAAATTGCCCTTTAAGGTCGTAATTCATTTCTAAAGCGAACTTTCCATATACCTAATGTTAAAAATACCTTAGCTGTACTTATTTGTTTGTTATTCTTTCAATTTATTTCCTTATTAAAATAAGTGTGATTTTTTTGTATTAGGTACTGTATTCTGTGTTAAATTATGTAGCACATGAAATGGTTGATATCACCCCATTTTTCAGGATTCTCTACGGGGAAAATTCGTTTGAGTAGGTTGGTGTATGTCTCAAATCAAAGAAATAAAATGACTCGACTAAATTACTTAACACAGGTTATCAGCAAGGCATATAAGGTTTTCTTAAGTTCCCGATTCTGGAAACACTTTGTTGCAGCATGTTACCTCGAATTGAAGCAGATCGTTTAGCATTCATTAGAAGTCATCAGTTAAAACTGAGAGCAGAAATACCGGTAATGTAAGTGAGCCTTGACGACACAAATAGAGATATATATAATTAGTTTCTAATAAGTTTTCAAACAACTCTAAGATGTAACTAAAACTATTCGAATTTAAGCTTAATGTTTTTCTGAGCATTATGTTTCATACTATGCGGCTCATTGAGCCTCACGGGTTCTCTAGTACTATACAATAATTGAAAATATGATGTCATTTTGAAAAAATTTACAAAACTACAACATAGCAGCGCATAAATAAAATATTATTAAAAGCAACAAAGATTAACAATCCATTGATTAAATGAATGGAAAAGGCGTTCCTGTCATCCCACAATACGGCGGAGTTTGCAAAAGGTATACTAGTTTTTGCAGGCGTTGTTTCGTATGGTACTCAGCCATACATATACAATAAGTGCCGGCTATGTATAACAAGCTTTATTTTTACATTGATTTCCTTGTAAATGCAAATAACTCAATTGTTAATATAAGTGTAGTAAGAAGATTCGTTCACTTCGTTCACTCATCTATTATTACAATTAATACAATAATAGCATTCCCCAAAAATTTAAGTTGCCTTTTTAAAAATAAAACTTATTATGATGTCTTCTGGCCAAAAGTTTAATTATCGTTCTGATTTTAAAATATTTATTTAACATTACAAAGTTTAAAGTAAATTATTCACCTACTATAGGAGGGCTTCGAAAAGGGTAATTAACTTCAAAAAATACAAAAGGATTTTTTTATTCTAAGAAAATAAGCAAAAACCAGATTTATTTATCTTAGTAGCAAAAATGCTATACAAATATATAGCACGGGTTACTTTTGTATTAGTCTTACTCTTATCCCATTTAAATACTATAATAATGATAGTATCAATAAACAAATGCATATTAGTTACGTAAAGGAGACTTTGTCCTGACCGCACCAGCCTAACAGATGCGTTGGCCACTGGCAACAAGGTCTACCGGCAGCAAACACGACTACATCCCCTTCACCCGTCACGGAACTGGTTCAGCTCGGACATTTCGCACCACCAATCGTAGGTCAGGTTGGTGGTCGTAGACCTTGTTGGCCGCGGACCTTGGCGCGTCCCCGAACCATGGTATCCAAGAGAGTTGAGATTTTTCTCAGGCCATACCTATAGTGTCACCCAGCAGATTTGAGTATTAAATAAATCTCAAGTTACTGTTTACTGAAATTAGTAGTTGTTGTCCAAGGTAAGAGTGAGTTGGCTGAGATTTTTTTATTTTTCCATACTACAATTAATTATGGTCCATCTTTAATATAGCAAACTAAATAAAATATTCATAAGGGTCTAATAAGTTTAAAATTAACAAGTTATTTATTATATCATTAATTACTTGTTTATAAAGTTCATACACACTATATTGAGATAATATCCATTAGACCTTTCAATCTATAGTGCACGAGTGTGGACTTGTAGCTCTATAGCTATGGACAGTCTGGAGGAAAAAGGGTCACAAATGAGACTCTAAAATAATCTCCCTGTACTCCTGAAACTACTTTCTTATTTTTTGTTTGTTTGTTTTACTTTAAAAAGTTTTTTTTTTATTTTATGACACAGGTAATGTGTCCATAGCTAAGTTATATATTGCAGAATTAACCGCCACACCTGTACTTGGCAAAGGAATGAGCTAGAACAGGGAATTTGGATCCTTAAAATTAATCTACCGAAATGGTTACACACCCCGAGGTATGAAGTTGGGTAAAGCTCTCTGGGAAACAGATGCTGCTTTAGGAGTTCCTTGAGGTGTTTGAAAGTCCAGCTTTGCAAACAATTTCAGGGCAGTCCAAACCTGCCAATAAATGCTGTTCTCAGTGGCGGATTACCTATTTAGGCACTGCCTAGGGGCTGCAGATCTCAGGGGGTCACAGACAAAAAAATAAAAATAAAAAATTGTTATAAAAATATTCTGAAAAAGCTTTAAAAACGGACAAATTTAAAGCCAGTTTCTTACAATTTCCCGGGTGAGGGGGTACAAACCAGACCCCGGTAGATCTTGCCACTCAGCTAAAAGTCTGAAATGACACCCATGGGGGGGGGGGGGCAGGCCGCCCAGGTTTACATGTGCCTAGGGGCCACTGAGGTCATAATCCGCCACTGGCTGTTCTTCTGATTGATGAGGACAGAAATTACAGCTGCTCTTTCACTTATATCAACAATTATATCAGTGTGTAAACTGACTGAGGAGCTGAGTGATGGTTAGTGCTCGCCTAGAAATTAATAGGTCACCTGTTCGATCCTGAGAAAAGACAGTAGCAAGTGGATGGTTCAAAAACGGACCCAGCTGCAACTATTCAATCATTGGGCTTCAAAAAATTATCTGTCTACTGAAACAGCTGATCTTACTCAGTAACAAATGAAGCTACATGACAATCTCACTCCATTGTACACTCATCCTTCACTCATATTTGTGTTAAAAATGTGTACCAAGGTGTAGGTGGCGTCCCCCATCTATGGTAATCGGCAAAATTAATGCAAAATCTTACACTGACCAACCGAAGAAAGTGTATTTAGGATAGTTCAATATAGAATTAATGTGGGCTATCTGGTAAGGGTACTAAACTAATTATAGGTCAAACAAGTGATACACAGTACTTTTGAATGTTGGTACTGAAAAGAAATCCGTCATGAAATTCTTAGATTAATATGCAATATATATTATATTAGATTAATTATATTATACACAATGTTACAACATCAAATTAGTGTTGATGTAAAAATGATTTTTCGTCTTTGATGAAAAAAAACAAAAACAAAAAACAATAACTTAAGACAGCTCACAGCTGATTGTTCTGTTCTTCTGTGTTCTGTGTGTCTGTGTCTGACGTTTTGAAGGTTAGTTGTTGTTGTTTGAGTTGTCATGTTGTCGTCTTCGTCAACCAAACCAACCATGTCATTTTCTTGTCATGGCGATGTTTACTTTACTAACAATCAAATCGAAGTAACTTACGCGATTTCTGCATTATAAGTATTAAAAAATAAGTTATGAATGGTGACACATTAACAATTGTTTACCGTAGGATTTATTAGTCCTAAAATGGTAAGTATTTGAATATGATTTCTTAATAATGGGCCTATTTGTAATAATATCAGTCTACGTTTGTTGTTGGCATATTAGGCCTAATCAAATAGAAATTAATTAATGTGCGGTAGCCTATTAAAAAAAACATAATTTATGTAAATTGAAATGTTTATGCTACAGTTTGGATGTCAGTCAAACATGTAGGCCTACTAATGTTTTTTGACTGGTAGACAAATATCAGGCTGCTAATGTTAGTTGTTTACTGGTAAGAACAAAAACTTAATGTTATTAGATAGATTTATAGAATAGTAGGCTATAGTGCTCTTTACATGGCTGCGTGATGGCCTTCCGCTGCCGGGAGCGCAGACAGCTAATAATGCGCTGCGTGGATGTGTGCGCGAACATGTTTGAATTTAGTTTCATCCAATAGGAGAGCCATATTATAGCATGTACTACGTCCCAGACGTTGTGGACGTAATGCTACAAAACCTCAATAGATAGCAGTAGGCCTACTAAAAAAACTGCTAGCATGTCCTCAGTATTGCCGAATAAAGGGGGCAAAGTACCCGGAAACTCCATCAAAACAAACCGCAAAAATGGGATCAAGCAACCATTTTGAGGTTACGTTCCTTTCACTTTTATGCTACAGTACATTCAGTATCGTATCGTTATTCTATTCTATGTCATTACATTTCTAGCATGCTACGAATTCGAGCAATTGCAAAGTATCACAGGCGTTATTTCAAAACTAATAACAATCATAATTTCCGATGATTTAAAAGAGTCAATTCAAAGATAATGTGTAATCAATCACTATGTAACGGTTTGTTTTTATGTGTTACTTCTTTTAAATAATGTTTATTAACTTACTATATAGTGTATATTGTGGGGGGTGAGCTCGCTTGGCAGTGAGCACAAAGAAAGGTACTCGAGATTCGATTATACAAAATTCTATATTATATTCTCAACACAAGTAGTTTTAATAATTACAGAGATAAAGGGAAAAATAGAATATAGATATTTTATCAAGGACAATGAATGGCAAATACTAAATGACAAAATATGATTTTCAATCAAAAATAATTGTTTATGTTATTATTCTCAAAATAACTATTCAACCAAAGAGGCAATAGAAATTGGTAAATTTATATATATTATTTCAAATAACTCTGTGTTATTAAAAGTATGAATTTAATATGACAAGTATTAAGTGTCTTTATTAGTATTTCAAATCTATCTGTGCTCTAAGTCCAAAAATATTAAAAGAGTATAACGGCCTTACCTTGGCCAGCCGGCGCTGGTTCCTAAGGAAGAGTGAATTATTGGTAAAAGGTCTACCACCGATGGTACTTTCAATTTGGCTGCAAAGAGAGAGGGTAAGGCCATAATCAGCAATTTGTTGGGTATTGAACCTACTGAATGCAAGAAGCAGCACAAAACTGCTTACACTCAGCAATCTACTTTACACAACCAACTGCTGTAACTGATACTTCTACAATTGTTTGATTGATTGAAAATCATTTACAATATGAACTTTTAAGTTTATTATTAAATTACATTCTTCCCCAAAAATTAAAGTCATCCTACCATCACAACTCCACTACAGTCATCGAAACTGAAAATGAACTCACTCTGAAAACGAACGCTCTTGTGTGTTATGTGTTTACTATGAACAGCTGTAATTAATACAAATCATTCGTCTGTTTAAGTAAACAAAATCTTTTCTTCATAAGAAATACATTGGGATTTTGATGGCCTGTGAGGCATAGCCTGAGGACTTTTATTACATTAATCGGCGAAAGGGGGCGTATACACAAAATATACTTCATTTTGACACATTGTATGTAAAAATCCGTCCATTATTAATGGAGGAGTAGTGTTTCCTAGAAATCGCCTTCTCATATTATATATAAGGATATAGGCCCTAGATAGATATATTATTATTACAGCCTCTATTAATCTACACACTCATGTCAATTAAAGTTTAATTTAGGAATTTATTGAATCAATGATAAAGTAACATTTATAACATTAATTATTATTGTTAACGTAATCAGACATCCATCTCAAATAAAAGAGGAAATATCGAAACAATTGACTGAATTAATATTTTTTTATGGTTTGTTTTCTTGTTTGTACAAGAACAGTGAAGGCTTTTGGTACTGCACCTACTGTAGTAAGTAACAGACGCTACACCCCAATCAGGCGCAGGTGTGATTGCAGTGTTAGTGCCCTGTGGAAACGGGGATTCCAATACTGCACGGCGTGACAACGCAGCGTGTTCAAACTGGATTGAACGCCAAAACAGCGGGCTACATTTACTCGAAAACTATAAGAATCGGCTTACGCTTTTTCCCCATCTTTTGAGACTTCTGTGGCTACTCTATATTCTGTGCTGCTAGCTACAGCATTTAGTAGCTGCGTTTAAAACTAACATTAACCTTATAACTTTTTGAAGATAGGCTACGTTTTACAGTGCCTAAGGCTACATACTTTAATTATGTTTTTTTCTTCTCTTTAGGAGGATTTAAAAGAAGAAAATATTTTGAATGATGAGAATCCTAATCAAAAAGTTAGTAGTGACAATGCAAATCAAAATTTAATAGTGTTGTATGAAGATACAGACCAAACGTTATCTAATGAAACACCAAATCGCATAATCAATGTCGATGATTCTAAAAAATCTTCAAGTATGGAAGATGATGGGCTCACAGGACTTAGTGAGATTCAACAGGCTCAAAATAAAAATGTTTACACCAATCAAACATGTCCAAATACTGATTCAAGTGGGAATGAGAATGCTTTAGAAAGTGTTTGTGACAAAGCGGTCTCAGTTGGTAATGTCCAAGAAATGTTACCTACTCATAGAAATTATGATAATGAAGAAGTCAAACACATTGAAACCATCAAGAAGAAACTATTGTATGAAATTGAGAGCTTAACCAAAGAAAAACAAACAATGGAAAGAGAAGTCATAAAGCTTCGTCAAACTTTCAATAATGAAAAAGGTAAGGTAACATTTTTATTTTGTCACTTTGTTATTTTTTATTCTTTTTTACTATACATAATTAGTCATGCACAGTAGATTCATTCATAGTAAATTTTATTGCTATAATCCGCCTAATTACTTTATTCTGAATCGTTTTGAGCTTATCTCGAACCGATTGCCAGTGTCTACACTTGCAGTTTTGTACCCGCTGTTGAGCCTGCTTGTAATGACTTTGAGCCTTGCAAACTGAACAAACTGAATCCTGTCAATTTTTGACATTTACATTACATTGCTAGAATTGGATATATTTTAACATTAGCACGATGTCAGTATAAAACCAATTTAAAAATTATTTCTCAGCCTTGTTCCTGCTGTTACAGGAAATCTTAAACACTAATATGTCCCTGCATCTTTCCTTCTTACAAACGTACGAAGAACTGCCATAGAATGTTGGACTGTCTGTTAAAGTTTTCTAAAACAAATATGTCCAGCTGCTTCCATGTGATGGAAACATATCCATCAAAGCAAGGGGTGAGGCGATACAGTACAAGGGTGAACTGCACTGATAAAAAGTAGTAGTAAGAACCAGGATCCTAATCCACGACATCCTTGCCTTGGGCCTAAAGTCTCCCGACTCAACAATATTAAGTTGGTACTCATGGTTTCATTTGCAACTTTTTCTGATTTAGGTGAAAAATCATCTGAAATCAGCAAGTTGCAAAACATGTTGATGATCTTGAAGCAAGACAAGTTCCGCTTGGCCTCAGACATTGCTAGTTACCATCGAGATATGGAAAGGTGGCTAACGACAGTTAAAGAGGATGTTCAGGTAACTTATGGGGCAGCTTTTATCTTTACATCTAAACTTACATTTTTAGCAGAAGATTTAATCAGCATAATAAATAATCCTGAAACTTTTAAATAGATTGTATTCCAGTCTAATATTGACAGGATAATAAAGCTGATACAAAAATATTTTAACAATATTGGAAAACATTGACCAAAATACAGGTTATGTTTCTACATTTTCTCAATACAGTATTGGCTTAATGTTTCTTTATACTGTAATATTGAAACGATGTTGAAAAAAATAAAAATATTAAGACAACTAAATTGTCAAGGCAATGTATTTTGTTTCACAAAAACGTTGTAAAAATATTGTTACCCCGTTGATCAATATTGGGGCAATATTGAATTAATGTAGACAACAATATTGAGGCAATAATGTAATGCTTTTTGGGAATGATTCTGTTGTCATTGAAAGTGTGCTTCTACAAGCTTTAAGCTTGCGAGACTGTATGAATTAGGCTTCATTCAGATAACTTCCAGTCTTTGATAGTTATAATAATAATAATAATAAAAATCTTTAACTGTCATAAGGATACATTAGATCATCGACAAAGTCAAAATCATGATCATACATCAATCGTCAAACAAAACAAAATCAAAAACACTTTCAATATTTTGTCAAAACAATAGGGCTTAATAACTAAAATATGTACATATGACTAAACAAACAACAATATATGGACCTGATAAAGCAACAGGTTAGCAGCAGGGTTATACAATCGACTTATTTGGCGAGATTTGAAAAAATCGTCCAGGCTATATGAAGGGGTTGTCTTTTAGCCAATTATAAAACAAGGACTAATATTTTTCCTGCGGATAAGCATCAATATTGTGATTATGATTACTGAATTTTAGGTGATAGGGTTTTTTAAGATATAAAGGGCAAGATCATAAATAAACAAATTGATTACAGTTTGAATCTTAAAACCCTTAAAAAGAGGCTTGCAGTGCTCGTCTAGCTCTGATAGCCCCCTTCTGTAGGATTAAAATTTCATTAATTCTTCCACACCCACCCAAGAATATCAATCCATATCTTATTACAGACTGAAAATATGCAAAATAAGCCGATCTCAAATAGTTCTTTGGAATTACAGTACATCTTTGAGACGACCAAGAAGAAAAATTACTCAAGATAGTCTAGTAGACAAATAATTTATGTGCTCATTCCAGGATAGTTTATTATCAATATGAAGACCCAACAATTTTGTTGTGACAGCACTGTTTTCATTATTTAAGGCAGAATTGTGTTTCAATGTAAATTATATTTCTTGAGTTTTACGGTCATTAATAGGAAGCCATTGGCATGAAACCATTTGGAAGCGTTTAATTTTGTGACATGGACTAAATTTTGAAGTAGGCCTACAAGATGGTTATTGTTTTCATGAAAAAAAGTTGTATCATCCGCGTACAGAATAGTTTTAGTACTTATTGCCATTGGAAGGTCATTAATGTAAATTAAAAACAGAAGTAGGCCAAGGACTGATCCCTGTGGAACGCCCCAAGTTACTTCCCTTTCTTGTGACTTTTTCCCATTAGAATTTACTATTTGTTTCCGGTTTTTTAAATAAGATGAAAGAAAATTTAGAGAAGATCTGTTAAACCCATACAGTACTAACTTTTTAATAAGAATTTCAAAGTCAACACAATCTTATTAATTAATTATCTTTATATTAATTACTATTAATCTTATTATTAGTAGGAGGATAATATTCATAAGTCGACTTACTTCTCAAAACAATACAGTTTTTACTGTGAATTCAACAATGTTGTGAAAAATTAAGTGTTAAAAAGTGTAAGCATAGGCTATATATTATTATTCTGTAAAATATTGACTCATTAAGTAAATGAGAAAGGTACAAGTTCGAACAAAGTTTATTCACAGATAAATTGGAAGTTATAACTTGGAGTTTTATTTGCCATGTTCAGTGACAGGAAGATAGCAATGCTGCTATCACTATCCACCAGCTGATAATGCTATCATTCTTGTCTTTCTTCTGGAGTCAATAACATCTTGAATCTATATCATCATCATAAACTTAAAGAATAGTTATTTTGTGCTACTAATGAGCAAAAGTGACCCTTTTTGAAACTAGAGAAAAATATTGACGCACAAAGCTTGTTTCTGTTTACATAAATTGCACATTATATTTTGTCAACTCTGATGTTACAACAACAAAATCTTATTTCAGTAGTATCAACATTTAGTAAGACAATTACTGAATACAACGGTTCTCCAACGAAAAGTTAAAGACATTTTGAACTTATAACTAAGTTTGTTCTTAATATTAAGACTACTTATATAATATTAGCGAATTTTCCATATAGGGAATAAGCTATTACCGTAGGTCTTATGAAAAGACCTGGACCCAGGACCGATTTACTTTTTTTTATGTCCCCAGAGGTCAAAAACACCATCCGTTCAAATTCATATACATTTATATCTATATATTAATTACGTAAAGCGATTCTTTGCGATAAAATTGTGGGCGACTGGGAAGTCGTAGAACGATGGTAGACTGCTCGAATTATAGGTCTCAATCCCGTGATGGTGGGAAAAATATTGAAATCCCCCAAATTTTAACATAAAATTAGATATATCATAAATTGTCCTCTATAAGAATAGCATTAGAAGCCATTTACTGCTGATTTTTGTTTACTTCAATACAGCTGATGGTGATTTATCACCAAGCCAGTAAACAATATTATATTTGGATTACTAATTTGCCTGTCAATTCTGCAATGTACTGTATACTATATAAAACCAGGGTTAACGTTGCCTATAATAATTAAGACTTTTTAGTTACGTCTTGAAATCAATTATTTTACTGCACAATTTTCAAACTTGTGTATTTTTAAGTTAATTAGCGTATGATAAGTAGTAGAATCATAGGAGAAGGCTCAATTCAAAGGAATTCAACTTAGAATGGCTGAAAAAATAATGAAGTTTATTCTTTTAATTTGAAGTTTATTGTACTGTTGAAGGAATGTTTAACATGAAAAAACTATTCAATATTGAATGAAAAACTTCTGCTTTGGTTTTATTTCAAAACATATGTTATAGATTTATTCTACACTTTTTTTTACCAAGATTTTTAATTTTAGATTTATTGTAGTGTTTAATCACTATTTTTTGTATGAAGTGGAATAACGTTAACGACCACTCTTAGAAAACAACCTGGGAATAAAGATGAATTAGGTTCCTACAGGCAATACATTTGTTCATTAAGTAAGTACTTTGACAAGCTCCAATGGACAGGAAAAATATTGTTTGGAGGAGATTTTAACCAGGTACTGCCTGTTGCTCCAAGCAACGTTAAAAAATAGCCACGGTGGTAAACGGAGCATCCTTATATAACAATAAAACCTAGAGGTTGTTTCCGTTTCTTAAAATTAACCAAAAGTATGCATGTCGAAAATGCTGATGAAAAGTAATTTCATGATTGGTTTTGATAAGTGGGTAATGGAACCCTAACCATTCGCAAAATAGTTAGGGAACAGCCGTTGAGAAGGCCCTTTTTTGATAGAATATGTAAAGCCAATTGCACCTTTAGGAGGAATATCACCAATAATCTTACACTAGGCTAATAGTAGTTTTTTTTTTATGTTGAACAGAAATAAATCTAGCGTTAATTTTGGCCAATGGGATGCCTTTACTTTAAATAGTGGGGATGGGTAGCCGAAAAATATTTCAGTTCTGGCAGGGAACATGCAACTTGAGGTAGTTTTAGTATACAAGTCCCTGAACTTAAAACCGCCCAGACCCCAATTTTTAAGGACCTCAGTCGTCCGTAGTGACATTATCAAAATGGCGGCTGTAAAAGGATGCTGGGTTGCCATGAATTGGTTATAACACCCATATGCGTGAACCGATTTTAATGAAACTTGGCATACAAGTACTTGAATACATTATCTCGGCCCCGGCTGTCAATGGTCAAGTTTGATCAAGTCGTTTCGAAATGGAGGCCGCTAATAACTAAAATAATAAAAATGTTTCAGTGTTTTGTGTTCTTAACTCCCTCCAGATATCTGCAGCAACCTATTCATTTTCCTTGTAATCACAGGTTGTGATGCAGTCTCTGCATTTCATAGAATATGCTAAATACCCCCCCCCACCCACAGCAAACCTGTAGACTAAGTGAGCTTCCCAACAGTATAAGTGTAAATATATTATTACTAGTGTTATTGTATGGCTTTTTGTTTTTCAGCTAATTAATAACATGTACGATGCTGATCAAGAAGTTATTCAACTATAGAACATAAATATTCTCTTTAGCTCTTCCCCATTGCTAAGCACGGGTATGGCGATGGCGACTAGTATAATACAGTAGGACCTCAATATCTCGAATCTGAAGGGGTTATGATAAAAATTCGAGTTATCAAGTTTTTCAAGTTAGTGAGGTTCGAGTTATGAAGGTTCCATATGAAAAAGTTCGAGATACTGAGGTGTTGGGGTCTGACAGTGATGTTACGTCATGGCCTTTATAACTCGACTTATACATGTTAAACCTTAATAATCGAACTCAAACTGTATTTATACGTAACTTACTGAAGAGTAACTTTGGAAGCAAAATAAAACAATTTGAATGCACATAAAGTACTGTATTTATTATTTGGCAATAAGTTTGATAAAGTACATAAAAAACATTTTAAATGACAAAAAAAATAGTTTAAATACTGTACAAAACAATAATACAGTATATATCATCCATACACGGAACTACATTTACTGTGTATAATGTTTGATTAAAGCAAACGTTAGTCAACCTCTTTATATGTACTGTAAAAACAAGCTAGGTACTGTAGCAACAAAAATACTGAATAGGTACAATACTGTACATACAAAAAGTATGTAGACTGTAGAGAGTAATATTTAAAGGGAAAATTCTAGTGTGATTAAAATAATAAACAAAATGCATCGTAATGTAGTTAAGTACTGAATCTACTTTGGCAAAACGGGTAAACTACACTGACTACAGTGCCTAGCCAAACAGACACGGGAAGCAAACACAGGAAGTTTGATTTTCACGTCTCGACAGGAATCACAACTGACTTGCACTGTTATGGCAAAACTTCGAATTATTGAGGCACATTCATGCGAACTTCGACTTATAAAGGTAAACTTCGAGTTACTGAGGCTCGATGACGGGAAAATTCGAGTTATAGAGGTAGAATGTTACTGTTCAAAAGTTGTTAAAATTCGACTTATTGAGGTTAAATATTTAGAAACTTCGACTTATAAAGGTACTTTTAACATTATGATTAATGTGGATTTCAAGGGGATTTAAAAAAAATCGAGATATTGAGGAATTCGAGATATTGAGGTTCGAGTAATTGAGGTTCTACTGTATAGAATAAACCAAAGTCTTCAGGGTGGTTTTTATAATCTAACTTCTAACTGTTAAAAGCCACCCCTGTTACTGCAAGCAGGCATTCATGCTATTCTAATTATTCGTCAGTAAACTATAGGCAATAATAATGTCAAGGAAAGGACTACATGAGTACAGTAATAGTTATTACATTAAAAGCCAGTACAACCAACATAATGAAAACTGAGAAACACTGTCTATACAAATCGTTGTGAGTTATACTTATTTAGGAATACGGTACTATTAATTTTACTTAGCACATAATCATAGTTTAAGTATTGATGATTTTGAAAGACAAACAAGAACATTTTCGTAACAAAACTTTGGAATTAAATTACTGTACTCGTACATAGATAACATACAGGCTGTAGAATTAAGGATAAAATTCATGGTTGGATGTAGCAATTAAATTTAACACCTCCACAGATATCATCCCTTAAAGGATAATCCACAGAAGCCGTTATTTACTGACCCATGTTTGGATTAAGTACAGTACAGGGTTATTACAAATGTTGTTCCTGATTTTAATTATAAATATTACTGGTTTAATTTGTTTCAAGACTATTTTAGTTGGTACCATTGGAAAGAAAAACTCATAAAGTTTCATTTACATGGTCTAAAAAACTCTCTCTTCCTTAGTTGAAAATGCTGTCAGTGACAGTGAAATATTCTAATGTTTTGTGTATATAGTGTAAAGTTATGTTTTGTGTTTCCTGTGCCAGTTTGGACTCTTTCCCATTCAGGTAAGCCTGCTATCCTCTCAAAAAATCCTAAAAAATCTAGGCCCTTGTGCTCTATGCTACACCCTTAACCTTTCTTTCATTTACATTGGTTTGGGTGCATATCAGCTGTTTGTCAAGTCAATTGTTGTAAGTGTTGTGTAATGGCTGAATTTGAAGGCAGGAAAGCTTTTTGCCAGTTGGAATATTACATTAACCAATCTGTTATTAGTGTGAGACGACACTTAAGAACCAGGTTTAACGATTATCCTCCTAGTAACCACTATATTGTCAAGTGACACTTGAAATTTATGAGAAATGGCTGCATTTGAATGTTATTTGTAGTAGGGCTGAACTTAACAATGTGCTGCCTGAGATATGGAACGAGCTCGGTGGTCCGAATAATGACACACCCCTGAACTGGCCTACAAGATCTCCGGACATCACCCCCTGTATTTTTTTCTTGTGGGGATACATCAAAGATAAGGCGTACACACCACCATTATCAGATAGCATACTTGAGATCCAGCAACGGATTATCAATGCTATCGAAACAATAGACCTAGACACACTTTTCAAAGTCTAGCAAGAGCTTGACTACATTATTGACATCTGTCGTACCACAAGGGGTTCCCGTATCGAGCATTTGTAGTTCTGTGTATCTGTGTCGAAACTTTTTGAGTTTTTTAAAAGTTGTAACCATTTTAATTCTTTGTACAACAAATAAAACTATAGTTTATGTATGTATGAAATCATGAACATCATTTGTAATAACCCTGTATTAGAAACTTCGTGAAATTTATGATTTTTATTTTCAGTGATTTGTGATCATAATTTAAATATTTTGACTTTTAGCAATCTTTTCGGTCACTTGAAGGGCAGCTTCAAAGAGATTGCCAGGAAAAGAGGGAACTTCTCTCAGAAATGACCAGCATGAATGAGGTTAGTCTTAACATTAGTAACTGTATAAGGATACTTAAATTGCTTCTGTTTATCCCTTATGTACTATCATAGGTCTGCAGGACCGCCCCGCCATTTTGCCATGCTCTCCCTCCCCACCCTCTCATCCCCTAAACTGGTTCCGCTCAGTACCTTCCAGTCTTGGCCTGGACATTGTGTGGTAAAAGTGAGGTTGTGTCACTCTTCTCCTGTCTCGAGCTATTTATGTTTTGAGGTCTGACAGACCTACGATAGTATTACTGCAAGTTTTAAGTTTGTACAGTGTGGTCTTGTAGACCGTGGATAGTATAAATGCTACTGTGTTTTTAGCATTGTCCGGTCCATGGTACCTTCGATAGTATACGTGTCTGGATAGATTGTAATGACTTTTGAATGTAATATGTGCAGTAACTATTGTAACGTCGACATTTGAAAAATGGTGTATTTTTACTGGCTACAAGTCCAAACTCACATTTTATTTCTACAATAGAAATAAAAGGACGGGGTGTTTGCACAAAACGTGCAAAAATTTGTGGAGCGTGCTTTGCCAACTATAAACCCAACAATATAAACATATATAAACAATATATATATAAACAACAAAACCCACAATGTATAAATATGAAATACAAAAATTTTTTTCACAAAATTTTTTAAATAAAATGTGGTCCCTCAGACCCCACGATAGTAGTTAAGAAATTTGGCTTATGGATAGTACTTAAGAGTTAACATACATATGCATTGTAACAAAGCTCTTTTGCTTTTGATTTATTGTAAATATTATGTAGGCTCATTTGAGACAACTGACATGGTTAGGTACAAACTAACAAGAGAAAGTTAAGTCTTTAAGAGTAATAAAATACAGTAGAACCTGAATAGACCAATTTGTTAATACCAAGGAAAAAATGTGGTTCGGATTCCACTATAAACTGTAGGTCCCTTTAGTTGCCATTAGCTGTATGGGCTATTAATTAACAGCTGTGTCTAAGGAATATGTCGGCTTAGTCACTAACAAGACTACAAGATCGTGCCACTCATCCTACACTCGATCTCCATTCATACTTGGCTTAAAATGCCTACCTTTGTATGGTCGCCATTTCAAAGAAAAGTAAAAAGTTGTTAGAATCTTTGTGGTCTAAGGGGGTGTTGAACTATCTAAATGTCAAACTGTAGTAAACTGGACATATACACACATCAGGGAGATTATTTTTAAAAGGTGAGATGAATCAAACAAATTTAATAGATAGATAAAACTTGAGAAACATAAACAAACTTATCAACTTACAGGGAGTGTCGAACTATCAAGTTATGCTATATTCCACTTTAAGACAAATGCTGCCTTGCTGTTATTTTGCAGTGATGCAGCTTTAGACTGTCATGTATCTATGCTATGGCGGATAGTTTGTGTTAGATTGGAAATATAGGTTTAGGTTCTCAACACCTTTAGCTCCTGTTAGGTTATGTAATAAGAGTTTGTAACAAATCCAACTATGTACGGAGCCAAATTGTATCTATATATAAATTGCATCAGACAATTTATGATCCACATATTTGTTATGCTATACTTCCCCAAATCTTGTATTTGTATTTTGTATTTACTGTCAAATTAATTATTGACAACATCATGGTTGATTGATTCCAAACAATAATATTGACGAGCTTTTAACTAACTCCATTACTAATCAAATAGTGATTCATGGAGTAATTTATATTCTATCAGACTCAATGGCAGCTCAATCAATGTCGTAGTCTCCTCAACTTTTAACTTAAGGGAATATTTTTTTATTGAATCTGTTTTGTTCCTTTAAAGTTAAAGGGAAAAGTTGTAAGTGCTGTCATATTTTTCTTCTTGGGGCATTTAAAATGTCTTCATGTTCTTGATGATTAATTTGGCTTTAAATTGCACTTGCTGGTGATGGTGTTGCATTAAAAGGTCTGTAATACTGGCAAACTTATTTGCACACATGGTTAGTTCGACTATAATACCTATGAACCAATATTTTTCAGTTCTTTGTTTGAAGTTAATTGTTGGTGATGGTGAGTTAATGTTGTTCAAAGGTTTATTGGGGACATTTTTTTTTTACTACTACCCTTGTAGTGTATTCCAACTTAGGTTGGACGTTTGTGTACTGTTAGATGTAATGTGTTAGTTAAGATTTTTTCACCTGAGGACGGGATCAGATTCCAGATCCCGAAACTTTGTGTATTGTTTTTTACCATCGTGATGGAAAATGTCCGCAATAAACCTTTGAACAAAATTTTTCAGTTGTTCAAGAAATACGGTAATAAGTTAATATTTTTGGTCATCAATGGTTTGATATGTTGTGCTGAAATATTTGTCTAATACTGGCAAACTGTTATTATCACACAATATAGATAGTTCAGCAATAGTCACTACCCATTTACCAATATTTTTCAGTTGTTCAAGAAATAAACAGTTAATGTTTTTGGTCTGTAATTATATCACTTTGTCAGGTGACTGTAGGAAAAATATAATTTTCACAGGAGTTGAACAGACGAGGTGAAACTATCTCTTCGCTGAAGGAAGTGGTGTCCATGTACGAGAAGAAAGTCAGTGAGCTGAACAATCAGCAAAACTGCGACCTCAGTACCATCAAACAGTTGAGAGACGATCTGGCCGACAGGAACCAGCAACTGCAAGAACTCACCAACCAACAGGAGGCCAACAGGTGATAATGCAATTCAGTTCACCTTAACAGGTTTATTGTAGCCATAAAATGTTAAGTTAACGATACTGGAACTCATTTTATCAGACCTACCTGTATTTTCCAACCACTCTTGGGTTCATTTTCTCTCTCCATGAATTTCTTATGTAGACACTTGCGAAATGATTAACGGTTTTACAAATTCTTCAACCTTGGTTTAAATTTGAGGGGAAATCACTGATGCCAGCAGTAGCCACATTGGCAGCCTCTTAAGGAGGAAGGGTGGTGGTAGTAGTGAGAGACCTTCCTTAAGGACCAAGAATAACCATCAATCAATCGGCCGGTGCAAAGCTGGCCACTTCTCTCTCTTCTAAACTCTGGTCTAGTAAGCCTAATACTTTGGAGAGTTGAAATAACTTGGTCTTTGTACTCATTCTTAGACTGTTACTGCAATGTGTAAATAGCATACTGTCTTAAATAGTTATTTGTGTAGCTAGTGGGCGAAGTGGCACTTTCTGGGGATGTTCTCTAGAGTAGTAAGTCTTCCTTACTTCCTGACCATTCTCTTGACAAATTATTAAAAACACTGGAAAAGGTCATACTTAGCTGTCCTCCTTAGTTTATTTAAAGAAATAAAATCCTTTCGGTTTCCTCTCCAAGTGGTTTTGAAGATAGCTCGACGTAATTCACATATAAAAAAAAACGACACAAACCACAAATAATCAAAAACACATTTACCAACTGTTTTTATAATTAATAAACATCTGGTCATGTATATTTCCTCATTTCTACTTTAAAACACTTAAGACAAACAAATAAACACTAATAGATTAACCAAGTGGTTTTGTAGATAGCTTTCGTAATATTCATACTATTTGTAATACTTTGGGTTTGTGTGGCATCACATATTTTGTTCACTTGTCTCAAGTATAATATCAAACGTTATTCACATATAAAAAAAAAAACAATACACAAACCACAAATAATCAAAAACACATTTACCAACTGTTTTTATAATTAATAAACATCTGTTCATGTATATTTCTAATTTACAACACTTAAGACAAACAAATAAACACTAATAGATTAAGATGTTCTAATTTGATATGTTTTAACAGTAATACGATGAGCCAGTTGCGAGATGAGTTGAGTAACGCTTCAGCTCGACTGCAGGATCTGGACAGTCAACAAAACGTGAGCAACAATACAATCAAACAGCTGAGAGATCAGCTCAGTGCTGCCAACAACACAGTGAGTGAACTGGAGACTGAGGTGTCTAGACTGAGAGAACACCAAGGTAATAACATTTACGCCACCCTACGCTGTTTTAACAAACTTCCCACTCAAGGATTTAGTCCAGGAAACAGCTGTTTGCCGCCAGCTTAATCAAATGGGGTTTCATTACGTACTATTGTACTGTAATGAGTTTTTACTGGACACCAACCAGCTGATTATATTTGGCAATGAGTGGTTATAAACAAAAACATAACCTCGCTTAGGGGTTAAGAGTAGTTATTGTTAATTCTTTAGTCGGTGGGAATATAAGAATTGGTCCAGATTTTTATTCTTAAGTTAGCTTAGAGTAGTACTGTATGGCGTAAAATATAGTACGTCACTCGTCCAAAATGTATTTACCGGACTTGTAGAGTAATCCCGCACATGACTTTGTCTCGCACGGGAACCACCAAACTTGTCCGGTAAACACCTATTTTCAGGACTAGTAACTTAATATACTGTTACAACTTAATATATCCTACACTGAACGTTCTCAGGGCAGCGTTAGATGGCTAATAACACATTTATATTTAGACGACAAGGGCACCCTCGATCGATGATGTCACTCTCAAGAAGGCATGGCGCGCGGGATTACCTGCAGGCAGCATCCAATATGTTAAGGACTTAACAATCATTACTTAAAACTTTTCTGAGAGTTATGTTTTCGTTTGTAACCACCCGCTACCATTAGAATATTAACAATCAAATGTCAATCAGCTGCAAGATGAATTCAGAACAGAAAGGTGGTGGGGGAACTTCCCCTAACCGCCCACATTTTGCGAACGGACTATAATATGAGTGGCATAAAACATAGTAAAGTGGTAAAAACTGGGTTCAATTAATTCTATAAAAAAAAAATTTGCTAAGTACTCAAGAAAGATAATATCATAATTGGTTTTAACACAAAATATATATAATCACATAGCATGTTATAACAAGACAAGATAGCAATGCAATAGTTTTGACCAAAATATAAAAAGAAATTTTTATAGTGTTGTGTTAGGTCTACCAAAGTGAAATCTCCTTTGCACTCACAAAGTATATTGCTTACTACTATTCTGGTGTTGAAATACAGAGTCTCACACCTTCACAATCTACCATTAAACAATTATTGTTTCCAACAACTCATTGTTGAATCAACTGTTGTTGAATATTGTTTTTAAATGCTGTGTTGCTGTTTTACTATCAGCTGTGTATATGTTACAACTACAGGAGGAGACACTGATCATCTCAGCACCAGCACAGTAAGTCGAGTAGAGGAGTCTGGCAGGTTGAGGGACGTTGAGGACAGCTTCGAGGATCGTTACTGCAAGGTAAGACAAGCCATTAGTCTCATGATTTCTATAAACAACTGCTAATCCTACTGTAGATTGAGTGCCAAAACAATCTGAAAATTTTACCTGTGAATAAATAGGACCTTAATTAATGTTCCTTGAGAATGCCATTTTTCAAAAAGCCCAAAACACGTTAAAAAGCTAAATTGTTTTGGGAAGTTCTTATTGTAGTCTTTAAGCAAACTGGAATACCTTGTTTGTCATCTTCAGAGGCAGTAACTGACTCCAAATGAGCCGTATGTTTATGACCTTTGACACAGTAGGCTGTTGTGTAGGTTGGGTAGTTATGGGATCGAGGGAAATGGTTGAAGCTATATTGTCTAGTTACAATGTGTGATATGTTTATTATTAGAAATAGAGCAAACATGATTAGGTATTTTGTATGTAAATTGTAGGGTTTTTCGTTGGACTAGTGGGAGACAATGTAAAATTTCTTCCAAAAACTCTTTCTTAAAACTTTGTACGTACAAAAAAAGGCATAGCTTTAGGAGATTTTTAGAATTCAAATAGGATGTGTTTGCTGGGTTTATGATTGACCTTTGTGTAGACATTCATCTCAGTTTAGTAGATTTGGTCCCAAAACAAATAAATACATAGTCACACTGATAGACAGGCATGAGGGCTTCTACTTTTGATATAAGAGATTTTGCAATGGGAAGATCGTCTAACCATAGAGCAAAGCATTCTGACACAGATTACTAAAAGTCTAGAGTAATTAATAGTTAAAAAATTAAAGATGAACTCAATTTACGGCCCAGTTTCCCACCGTTAAGCTGTCTAAAATTTGTTAATTGATAAAATGCTAGTGTAAGTAAATATTTCTAATTGTGTTTCAATTTGTTTTCTATCTTCTCTGTTTTGTTCCAGCTTAAAGTAGTGGCAGCAAAGTTGAAGAAACGAGCAACTGAGACGCAGCAGACGTTAGACAATGAGCGACAGAAGTGGACAACGGAGAGAACAGAAATGGTCAACAAAATGAACCAGTTGACTGCATCAGCTCGGAATATGCAGGTGTGACAACACAACAACTAAGTTGGATAGAGTAACTAATTATTATTTGTGCATTTTGTAACAAAACCAGACCTGTTCAAACAACGTTATTTTTAACTGCAATAACAATAACAGAGTCTCTAGATTAATAGAAAAAGATTGAACCAACCATTTTTTAAATTTAGTACAAACCAACCTCTGTTTTTGCTTGGGCAGTTAGTTAATCCGAGTGGAAGTTAATCCAAGCGGAGGTTAACAGAAGGTCGTTAAAGAGAAGGTCTTGATCACTGATTTACCTATTATCTGTTGACAGACGCTGCAGCAAGAGCTGGATCGACTGGCAGACGACCTGGAAGCCGAGCGTAAAGAGGTAAAGGTTCTGAGGAAGGCTGCGACAGACGCCAAGACCTCAGAGGTTAACCTCAAGGTTAAACTGGAGGAGGCTCAGACCAACATTGAGATACTCAAGACTAACCTTGATCTGGCCATCAAAGAACGGGATAGGTTGGTGCACAAGCAGTTACATTTTTTACCACTAGACCTATTAAAAACTAGTTTTTCCCCATGGTGTCCCTCAGAGGTATAATTTTTGTATTATAATTGCATGATTCATACTTTTATCACATAAAACTTTGTTCACATTTAAAATACTCACCATTCACCACAGCGTATACTTCTTCAATCAACACTCCCATAGTTCAAAACAGTATAAATTCCCTTATTAGGAGGTTTCTTAAGCCTTCCAGCGATTTTAGTTTTCCGTCCTAAAACAAAGTAAAACGCTCTTCTCTCATGTTCCTTTTTGATTCTGGGTAGTTATTCTACATGAGCATGCATTAATAGAGGAACTCACAAACATGTTGTACAGCGGACTTTGACTAAGATGCGACTCACATACTTTGACACGAACACACCCCTCCCCTCCACAGCCCAATTCTCTTTACTCTTGGGTCCTTCCTGAATGATCTGCCAGATGTAGTGGTCTGCATGGATCCCGACAGTCACTACTTTCTGGCCTGCGTTGTGACTGAAGATAAATCTCTCCAACTCAAACCTGTCTTTGAAAATGAAAATCCTTTATTTCAACAGGCAAAGTTAGGGCCACATGGCCCTTTCTTGCACTTAACCTGCTGTCAGTGAAAGTGAAATATTCTAATTTTTGTGTATAGAGCAAAGTTTTGTCAGAGTATTTCCCCATTCGGATCTATTAAGCCATACCATATTTTAAACATGCTATCTCCACAAAAATAATTAAAAAGTAGGTCCTTTTGCTTGTTGTTAAATACTTGGTAGTTAATAATCTCCATACCAATTAAATAAAGAAGTACAGCATTCAAATCTTTCTTTATAACTTTTTAGCATTGCCCAAACTCTGGCTGTCAAGGAAGCAGAACTGGAGACAGCTGTGAAGGAGAAAGTTGCTGAGGAACTGATAAGGAAGGAGAAGGCGAAGGAGGTCACAGAACTAAAGGAGAGATTGAAGGAGGAGCAAGACAAGATGGCCACCATGCAGAAGACTGTGGAATCTGCCAAACTGGAGGCGAGGAAACAGGGTGTTTTGTCCCTGGAAATACAGAACTATGAGGTAGAGCTGTGTTTTATAGTTAAGTTATACTTTTTTTATACCAATCGCAAATGTTTGTTTATCCAGGCCTTAATCAAGGTGTTAAGCAATCTGGTCTTGAATGTATCTTATGCGCTTTTTTAAAAAACTGCATAACATTTTATCTAAAGTAGTTTCAGTTATTGGATTGGATTACTGTATTTTTGTCAGGGGACAGAGGTAGCTTCCATGGTGACCTAAAATGTTTTAAAAACAATGTGCACTATCAAGTCTAAGTGTCAAAGAAACTGGTAAACATCCTTTCAAAAGATGAAAACATCAATGCACAGTAAGATAAATAATTTATGAACAAAAATACTTTTTAAAAATGCCACGTTTTTAAACACACTAAAAAGTATAAAATAATTTATACTTTTTAGTCTTTAATGTGTAAATATGTAAAATCTATTTTATATGGCCTAATAAACAACCAAAACCTTATTATCTGTAATCAGATGTTTTATCTTTACTTTGAAATGATTGTTTTATATTTTTAGAACAGGTGTAATAGGCGTAGCTCTAGGGAAATATGAAAATTAAATGATATAATATTGCATTGTCATCCATTTGTGAGCTATGTTTCAAGTTTCATGTGTCTAGCTCATCGGGAAGTTAGTATGAAATTGATTGCAAAATTTGTACCGGACAAGAAAGCGAACTAATAAAAACGTTTTAAAATAGCTTCAACCTGATCGATCCACATAACATTTCTCTCCAATGTTTTTCCCCATGTTTTTTTCCCAAGTCACGCCAAACCATCTCTTGTTTTGCCCTTTGCTGTTCAGAATAATTGTTAGTGCTAGTCATGATTGAATTTATAATTTCCAACCTTTCATATTTTTCTTGTTTGAAAATAATACATCTGTCTCCATCCCACTTACTAACACCTAGAGCAGCTGTAAAGTAAGTCATGGGTAATGTGTGCTGTATAAAGTCCTAGTTCAAAATAGTTCACTGGTCCGTGGTCAGATGCCAAAATTTATCGTGTTGCAAGAACGTCTCGTCAAACCATAGGAGTGTCTTTTTACAAGTGACAGGTTGTCAAACCACCTGGAAGTGTTAGCTTGGTCACATTTTTGTTGGTTACAGAAGAGCCTGTCAGAGTTGGATGCACAGCTGGGAGCTGAGCGAGGCAGAGTGTCTAGCCTGGAGGCTGAGGTACAGACTCTCCAGGACATCCGGGACTCCCTACAGGAGCAAATCAGACTACTGGAGGACAGAGTGACTACAGAGGACAACAGGTGTCAACAGGCTCAGGTACCCCTCTTCCCCCTTACATATAACTATTGACTAGAACTAGGCATTCTATTCTAAAAGATTCAAGTGAACAGAGCTGAATTGAGCCACTGAATGAAAGCGCTGATTTAAATTACTTTTACCTAATTTCCTGTCCAATACACAAAAGTGTTAACCATTCAAATTTATGTGACTACTTCAAGAATCAAGAAGTTTATTGACCATTGAGTAATACTAGAGTAGATTTCAGTTATACATCTGCTTATACATTACATCAAGACAATTACTAAGATAATAGTAGCCTAATAATAATAATAATAATAAAATAAAAATACAATATAAATTTTAAATAGGCACAGCAAAATAAATTAATGAAACAATAACATCAATAAAAGTAAAAGAATATTGTACTCATTTTCCATAAACTAACCACATGCAAATTTGGTATTACAAAGGTATTACACTCCTTGTATTCCAGCTGTTTCAATCGAAACTTAAGTGAATCATGGTGGTTGTTTTTGGTAAGATATAATTCAGAATCACAGGAGCTGTAAATTTAGAAATGTAAACCTACTTTGCCTTTTTATGCTTATTATAATATTGTATTATATATATATAACAAAACCAACCAGTGCTTAGTGGAATTGAATGAATGAATAAAATTAATGAAAAAGTAAAATTCAAAATAGTTTGAAAAGTTCCTCTCAGAAAATAATTTGAATGCGCAGGAGGAGCTGAGCCGCACTCGAGCCACACTCCATCAATGTGAGGAGAACATGGTGGAACTAGAGCGCCGTGCAGGACAGCTAAGCGCACAGTTGGAGAGTGAACGCGCCAGCGCTGAGGCAGCCACACTCGAGTTGGCATCATTGTCGTCCGCAGTGCAGACCAACACGGACATCATGCTGAAGGAGAAGCAAGAGTTGTCCCAGCAGGTGGCAAGTCTGGACTCACATGTGGCAACACTGACCAGCACACTGCAGACCAGGGAGGAGGAGTTGGCAGCAGTGCGGGCAGACTTTGACAAGTACAAGGTACGAGCGGCGAGTGTGCTGCGGAAACATCAGAGCTCGGCTGCTAGTCAGGCGGAGACAGACGCTATACAACGAGCGGAGGAACTGCGCCAGCTCAACCAGACACTGAAGGCCAAACTGGATGAAACTGCGTACGATTTTTTTCGTGTCATTAGCATTCTTTACAGTTTTTGTAAGAGAACAGTCAAAACCTTAGTCTTGTTTTGATTAATTTATAGCACAACTGGGCTGAATGGCAGGGATCCAGGATGTATATAATTTAGAATCAAACCAGCGAACTACAGATTTAAAGCCAAGCATTAAATATCTAATATGTTCTGCGCAGATTAGTTTTGAATTGGTTGATTCTTGCAATAAAACTGAATCTGGTTTAATTGAGCCACTGACAAAGTGCACTGAAATAGATTATTTAAAAAAAATCGATTTTGGTTAAACTCTGTGTGTATTGTATGTTTTTTTACATTGTTTAAGACTGTGGGTATTATTCTCATGGTATTTCAGGAGTTTAAATTCAAATTTAGTTTAATTATAAATCATCCAAATGTCAATGATTGTATTCAAGGAGAGCTCAGTTTTAATGATAATGTCTAACTAATTTAAGTATAAATTTTACTGTAACAAGAGGTAGGCCTAGCATTTTAAAAGTTGAATTAAATTTTTTTTTACATTTTTATTGATTTCTGATATTGGTAGCAGTTATTTTTATATCCAGCCAGCCCATTATAAATTTTCATTTTGAGCCCTAAAAGCCCCAAAAGACTAATACAGGGTTTCACATTTCTTAAATGCTCAAACATTACTCCTTGTGACCCCAGGACGCGCATAGACAAGCTGCAGGGCGAGCTAGTGTCAGCCAATCATGAGAGAGAGGCTGCTGAGACGCGATGTGTCAACCTCAACATTGCTCTGAATGACAAGACCAAACAGCTGGAGAGGGCTGTCGCTGAACACCGTTCACAGAAACTCAGTCTGGACACTCTAGTCCAGTGTTACAAGGTAAACTAAACAATTAGACATTCTTCATAATGTAGTTGTTTTTGGTTACAGTACCTGCAGACTGCCTTGTGGGTTTTGTTAATCCAGTAGGATTACGTACGTTTCGGCAAATATATTGCCATCATCAGATCCAGAACTTGAAGGTTAAAATCTTGATTTTTCGACACACATGGTCACGTCAAAGTTTAAAATAGAACACATACACAAAACGAACATTAAATACATGTAGGCCTACTATTAAAAAACCGAACAGGATATAATATGATGCAAGCATCTCTCTTGCCGAGTCTCGACTGGTGGTCGTCAGGTCCTGTGAACTGGACTCTGACCCCAAGGCATCCTGTATCATAAGTGTCGGTCTCTGTCCAGTTCACAGGACCTGACGACCACCAGTCGAGACTCGGCAAGAGAGATGCTTGCATCATATTATATCCTGTTCGGTTTTTTAATAGTAGGCCTACATGTATTTAATGTTCGTTTTGTGTATGTGTTCTATTTTAAACTTTGACGTGACCATGTGTGTCGAAAAATCAAGATTTTAACCTTCAAGTTCTGGATCTGATGATGGCAATATATTTGCCGAAACGTACGTAATCCTACTGGATTAACAAAACCCACAAGGCAGTCTGCAGGTACTGTAACCTTTTATTGATTAATTAGACATTCCATCCTCAATGTAACATTTGTCTCCAGACCAACAGATTGTGCTGATGTATATTACTGATTTATAACTTTTCAATTAAGTCAAACAGAAAGGAAGACTTATTGTAAGCTGTATCATCTTTTATCACTTTTATCACCCTATGAGAGGCTCAATTAAATGGTTCCGTTTCGAGTGCCTCAAGGATTAATTCTTGGACCATGTCTATTCATTTTATTTGTAAATGACTTAGGAAGTGTATAAAGAATTCCAATATTTCAGTATGCAGTTGACACAGCAATAATTTTCAAAGAGAAAAAAGATGTTGACATTAATCACACAATTACCAGAGAGCTCTATTCCCTTGAGGACTGGTTTACTGTCAACAGCCTCTCCATGAATGTATCCAAAACACAGCTGATACAATTCTCTGTCTCAAATATAAAAGACAAGATAACTCTTTATTCAAACTCAAATTTGATAGTTTCTCAAAATTCAGTTTATTATTTAGGAATAAAAATAGACTCTCATTTAAATTGGCAAACTCAAATTGAAAATTTATGAAAAAGACTTACTTCAGCTATAAATTTGTTTTACAAGTTCTAGATAGAAAAAAATTTGGTACACAAATAATTGCAGTATATCATGATTATTTATCTATATATTAAAAACATATTGACTTTTTCTTTTCCGAGTTGGTTTGGTCCTTCTCTCCAACCGATTTTCTTAATTTTGGTCTTAAATTAAAAGGTATGCACACACAGATTTACCATCAAGCACTATTGTTCTTTATCTACTGAGTTATTTGACCAAATAACATAAATTAGATTCTTTTAAATTCTTACTTCAATTAAAGATGTATATCATGAGTTATAATTAGCGAGTGCGCAGTTAACAGAAAAAAGATTGCGAGACAAGAAAATTATCTAGAATTTTCAGAACAGCTTGTACATACATGTACAGTGTCCCTTGTACAAGAATAGAGACGATGCCGGTGACTAACTGAAGCAACGACTCTTCAGGAAACCAACATTTTCAACCAATTATGAGCATTGTCTGTGATGTTGCTTTGCCAACCAATGTTGCATGCTCTCAAACGTAGCCAGACATATTTCGAGGCAGAAATCTCAGCTGTAAATAGTTAAACATGAACATTAAAAATTCAAATTAATTGAGTACATTTTTGTTCTGGCATTCCATGACTTAATTGTTTACCAGAGTCAATTGGAGGAGAAGGAGAAGAGTTTGCAGGAGCAGTTGGCGTCCCTGACCAAGGAACTGGAGGGAGTCAGATGTCAGCTGCGGGAGCGTAGCTTGACAGAGGAGCCGGAGACTGCAGCAGTGGCGGAGGAGCTCCCTGTAGTTGTTGGCGGGGGGGCCGGAATCCGACAAGAGCCCCCGCTGCTAGAGAGAGAAGACGGAGAGGCAAGAAAACACACTTTATGCGTAAATCCTTAATTTTTACGTTGAAAACATTTTGTTAGCATTCCGTAGATTTGTTATCCTATAAAGAAACACAGGAAATGTTAGGTTTTGTCTCTCTAGTTAATTAGTTACTACTGGGGATCACGCTACTCTAGTGGTAGAGTGGTCTTCAGCTTCCAAGGTCCCATGTTGGATGCTAATCTCCAATTGTGTATTTAATGTTGCAATCCTTGTTTAAATTCTTGTTTCATAAATTTATATTGAGACAGAATAAAACTACGACACAACTTGATTACATGCATAGTAATTATTTAAATGTTTTGTTTTTTATCATGTTTCTTGAAACCACAAATCCTTTACATCTTGAAAATTAAAATGTTGGCTATTAGGCTAGTATGATTGTAAAAAGGTTCAACACCAACGATCACAGCTGTAAAAAACTAATAACATTAAATATCAGTAACAGATGGCAGAAAGAATCTTTCTATAATTAGCTTTTTGATATTTGTTCGGTGATTTTTGTTATTCTATTTGTGTGAAACTTGGGGGAAATGTGACCAATACCGCTCACTGGTTGTTATTCAAATTGTATAAGACATTCTCAAAAATTTAGTGAATACAGGGAAAAAGTTTAATCTTGATCGGTGCCCTAGTTTTACCCAAGTAGGCAGAGTAAATTAAATTGCCATGTTGAGTGTCACCATCAGAAATTGAGATAAGACTTTTTTTCTTTCTTACGCTATGAAACTTAAAAATAATCCTAAACTTCATGATTGTGTGCAAAGTACTGACAAACCTGTATTTTATTAATATCGATTACTGTTTTGTTGTTATTATATAAGATTTTTTTCTCAAATTACCAATTTGGTGGGATTTTATTGATCCCGATAAATGAGTTTGACATACATACAATCTTATTTTATCCTTACTACCTAACTCATTCTTCCTTCTTCTTTAAGTGTCCTACTTTGTTTTGTTTGTGTTAAAATTAACTCTACACTTTAGTCTTCTATACCATATTGTTTTTAAATTAACCGCTAACAATAGCTTTGTGTCGCTCTAGGGTTCGGAGTACATCCCAGAGTATTCGCCTAGCAACACCCCTCCCCCCATCTCTCCTAAGCCGCTGCTACCACTGGACAAACTGTTGGAATCCAATGACAATCTCCACGGTCAGTCTTATATTTTTTACACATCCAATGAAACAAGATATGATCAACTACTTTGAATAGTAGACCCTTCTCATCCTATCGTAAAAATTCAGTGTTTTACTTGTGTTTTATGTTGGTATTTTGTTTGGAGAACACTGATGTCAGAATATGTTTCTTGTCTAGTGGATTTTACGGTTTGTGCTTTTTTTTTACTGGAAGAAAGCTGTTGTTTATTGTTTTATTTGGTTAAAATAGTTGTAACGTAAGTTAAATAACAAGTGAAACAAACAGCAAAAGGCAAAACGCCCCTAGATGAACCAGTCAAAACTAACTTTGAAATTGTGATCAGCGGATCCATAAGGATAATAAATATTTAAGGCAGTACTGTAGTTTAATTTATGATTCAGTGCAAATTTGCTTTATCATTGTCATTTGACACTACAAAGTGTGCTGACATAAATAAAGAGTTTAAGATTAAATGTGTTTATATTATCACAAAAATTTAGTTTTTCTTTGTAATTTTTTTTTTCAATGAAATTTTAATTGAAGCCAAAGTTAGTTTATGTCTGTATGTCCAGGAGAGAGGGAGTTGGAGGCAGAGTTGGCTCAGTTGAGATCTGAGCTGGAGCACAGTCGTGTGAGAGCCCAGCACCAGGCAGCACTGCTAGCTGACACTGAGCAGGACGCTGCCCGTAAAGACCACCTCATAGCTGTGCTGAAGCAGGAGATAGGACGACTGGAGCGATGCATCCAGCGGCAGCCTCACGCCAAAAACACTGAGTACTTGAAGAATATCGTTTTCAAGGTTATTGTTATTGCCTTTTACTTTTAGATACTTTTTAATGTTCCTGAAGCTGTGAAAAGTGAATTGAAATGGATAAAATAACGCCACACTCACCACAGCCAGTTGTCTTAATAGCGATAGTACTCGTAAGAACTCCCTTCACAGCAAAGATAACATAAAATCCATGTAAAGTGTAAGTTACTTTGAATGAGTGTGTCAATTAGAGTGGCAAGCCGAATGCGCTTGGGCAAAAGAAAGAACCTTTCTCCCACCTAATGAACCATTTTGTTGTTGGCAGTTTGTTACCCTGGAGGTGGGAGAAGACAGGATGAGATTGGTTCCTGTCATCACTACGTTGCTACAACTCAGTCCTGAAGAAACCCAACAGCTCACCACTATAGCCAAAGGTAACATATTTGTCAGTTGGTAGTGTTTAATTATCTTAGGACACTTAAATTTATTACTTAATGTGATATTCTAAGATAAAATAGATTTTGTATTAGATATTTTCTCCATCCTCGTATTCCTATGTGATTTATTGAATCATTAGTTTTTAAAAAATAAAATTATTTAGTTGGAAGGTATACCTGAATTGTCATAATATTAATAATATTAATCAGAGATATTTATAGGTAATACTAATATTATTACAATGTTGCGTCTTAAAAACAGTTATTTTAAAAACCAATTGTACCGTATGATACATCAAAATACTTTATAAACATTTTTAGAGTTTCTTTAAATATTTTCCATGTCTCGTGATGATGTAGCCTTCCTTGGCTTACTACTCCTTAAAATTTGCATTATTGTAAAAATAATAATATCATAAAAATGAACTTTTCAAAGATTTTTAAACAATAAAGTTGATTAAGAAAACCAAAAACAGAGAAAGAAATGCAAGGATTTCAAAATTAAGGAAGGAAAGAAATAATAAATCATTTCTATAATGAAATCCTTGCCTTTCTTTCTCTGTTTTTTTTTTATTTTTTTTCTTAATCAACTTTATTGTTTAGAAATCTTTGAAATGTTCATTTTCATAAAATTATTATTTTCATAATAATGCAAATTTTAAGGAGTAGTAAGCCAATGCTACATCATTACGAGACATGGGAAATATTCGGGGTCAATCTCAATGTCTGCCCACTATGAACATCACCCCCGTATGTTCCTTGTGATAATAAAATCTAATAACATTCATGGTACCAGCTTTGACTATTGATACAACTTCTGTATCCAATAGTCAATGGTACCGGTAAGTTTGCTTCCTAACAATCAGTGAAGGTATATTGAATGCAATATCGTAAAAATGTTATAGGTGAAACTGAGCAAATGTATTACGCTCTTGAAATTTGTTGAACTACGATGTGAAAGTAGCGAGTTTTACCTTGGACAGAACAGTAAGATTCTTATAATTGTTTTTGAATGGGTGAGCATGAACAGGGATGCACTTACATAAAGTACACTACTGAAAGTGAATTTAGATTTATCCATACAGAAAAAGGTGGTTTATAAACTAGAGGTAACAATGTAAAATAATATTGGCCACTTTGTAAATATTTTCTTCAATTTTCTTAGATCAGTAATTCTTTTAAGGAAAAGCCATGTGGCTGATTAGGGGTAGTTTGAATAGATAAGGTACTGCTAGCTCACTTAAGAAAATAATAATTCTGTGGATCGTGGATACAAAGTTGTTTTCTGTGACCTTTTTTATAAATAAAGCAGATAAGTTGCAATTTATCAATAATTTAAAAATTAATTTATAGATTTTTTTTTATGTTTATTATTTTCATGAGGTGACTCCATTCAGAGTTCTTAATTTTAATTATTTTTTTTTTAAGTTCTTAATGGTGGCTTAGTTTCCAAGTTAGTTTTAGTAACCAGTTTTAATTATTTATCCTGGTTAAAGAGTCAGTTTCTGGAAAATTCAATTAGCCTTTCTACTCTATAGTTTAAGATTGTACATATTCACCGTGAAACACAATCATTGTGTACATTCATTGTCTGTTTGTCATGGGTAAAGTAAAAAGCTATATCTTGCTTGTTTTAGCTATCGACATAAACTAGTTCCTTTTATTTTATCACTTCCCCTGTACATATTTTACAATGATCACTGATCAGACACTTGCAATTGTTTTTATATTTCATTGGAACATTTATGTTTGGTTGCAAATTGATATTTTCAAAATAAATTAGTAAAACGATTCAAAATGTTTCCAATAATATCAAAGGCGTATACAAATAAATGTTGGTACATTATATAATTTACCAAGTAGTTAGTTAGCGAGGTACACTATTAGGTACTGCCAAGACAGGGAAATAATATTATTGTATTAGAAATACCAGAGTACTTGTTTGATATTTTAATTTTATTTAGGCCTGCTGATTACATTAAGGTAATTAAGGTGATTACATTAACATTAAGGTAATCACAGTTACTTTACTTAGAATTTCATAGTTTAGTTTACAAAATTTAAATAAATGAAAAAATCATGTCATTTCTTCCATGTGCGTCTTGATATATTCTGTATTACTTATTTGATTTTGTTTAAAATGTTTGATTATAATTTTGCTGTTGCATGATATTTAGGATATAATATGTTTTTTTGTTTTTTTTTTACTAGGATATTATGTTTAATAATTATTTTATATTCATTTTGTTCTGTATGTTTATTGTTTACATACATCCTAACAAACAGTAGTGTCGAAATAAGATTCAGTAAATAAAAATATCAAAAAAGAAACTATGGTATTTCTTAAATGAATATTACAATACTGTATGCTTTTGTTAGTAAAAAATATACCTACAGTATATTAATATTTTTACTAATAATACTTGTAAAGGTAAGGTAACTCTTTTTATAATGTAATGTGAATACAATTTGTAAGTTGATATTGTTTGGCCATATTTGGTGAATGATGTTCAGGTATGAAGTATGGTAATGGTGTCAGTTGGATACAAAATTCAGCTGTGTCAGAAATAGCTGCTACAGAGGTCACGTTTTTGCTGACCTAGGGTCAGAAGCTCATATCTGATAGATTGTTAAATCATTCTTTTGATTAATACAGCACATCTAGACCGCAGTCTTCTTGACTTATTTATGTCACATAAAACTGAACTTAAGACCCATTCTCTTTACTATGAAATTTAACTTATTTTAATCTAATAATAAAGTTATATATGTCAATTTTTAAATTTGGTTTCCAAAACTCTGGAAATGCTAGTGTTGTATTTGTTGCTATCTAAAAAGTATATGTACTTATGTTGTAACTAATCACACAATACACAATTAAACGTAGGCATACATTGGTTTATAAAAAATAACTGTAATTATGTGGTACATTGTCATTAATTTTTATTGGAGTCACAAGAATAAAATCATGTGTTAGATTGTGCTGATTCACATTCAATTCAAAGTTGAGCTTGATGGTTTAAATTATATTTTACAAAATTATCACAATTGTAATATAAGATATGGTGTATTTAAAATTGGAAATGTATGTTTCCGCAGGACAAAGCCCTGAAGGTGGAGGGGGGTGGAGCAGCTACTTGCCTGTGTGGAGATAAGAACAAGAACATTCCCATCGCATGATTATTCGTCTGTGCCTTAGTTGCTGTGCTTGTGATAACCGGTTCATAGGTGAACTGTGGTAGTTCTCACGATTTAGATTTGCTACTTATGTAGTTTTTCCTTCAATACCATTTTTAAATATTCCAAATAATGTTTCCTAATGTAAAGTTATTATTAACGGACACGTTGTAAATGAAAGTTTGTTAAACGCTCATTTAAATTGTAAAATGTTGAGCATTAATATTATTTGTAAATAGTTTTATTGTAGGCCTACACATTAAGAGCATAAATACACAAATAGTATTAAGTGTATTGTTATTTTATTAATCCAAATTGCATTTTATTTTTGTAGTGTACTTTGTATGCTTAATTATAGTTTTAGTGTTGTCAATGTATGATCTGGGCTACATATAGTAATAATGCAATGGAAAACCTAAACAAAATGTGCAGAGTACTGGTTCTCACCATTATAATATTTCCCTTTCATGAGTAATAATGAGTCTAATAGCTGATAGAAGCCTTGTATTTCCCTTACAAATTCTGACAAATATGCATGTTTCTCAGTAGCCGTGAGTACTACTACTCATGTACTGTTTAAGTAAAGATTCAACTATTATTCTGGTATAAAAAACATGTTTGTTGGTAAAATTTAAAAAAGTAAATTTTAAGCTATTATATATTATAACCTTATGTAAGGGTTACTAAAACTCTTAACGCAAAAGTGTTTTTCACTATTAAAAGACAAAGGGGTGTATCAGAGTCAAGATAAATATTTGTATGTATCATTGTAAAGCTTGAGTTCGAATTATTCGTTCAGCTTGAAATTATTTATCTATTTTTTGTAGCTCAAACTATTTTCACATGATTATCATTTACTAGTACACCTGTTGCTCGAATTCGAGCAATTGCTAAGTATTACAGGCGTTATTTCAAAACTAATAACAGTCATAATTTCCGAAAAAAGTCTACTCAAAGATAATGTTATCAATCACTCCACTCTAGTTATCGAAACTGAAAACGAACTCACTCTGAAAACAAATGCTCACTCCACTCCAGTGTTGTCTCTGAAAACAAACGCTCTTGTGTGTTAAAATGGTATAAGATTACCTGTTTCTGTCTATGATCCTAATTTGTAGTATGAGCTACCGGTTTCGATGTTATAACCTCATCATCAGGCTCTTGTCACTCTTGCGAGGTCGTCGAGTTTTACAAACACACAAAACACTGACATTTAAATAAATAAAAACATTGACGGATACGATACGAATACTATTTAACATTTAACATAAAAATCTGGAACTAGTTCCCACACGACGCGGCACGGGCAAACGTTTTGTCATGGCTCTTGTGTGTATTATGAACAGCTGCAATTAATACAAATTTGTCTGTTTAGTGTTTAAGTACACAAAATCTTTCCTTCATAAGAAGTACATTGGGATTTTGATGGCCTGTGGGGCAAAGCCCGAGGACTTTTAATGCAGGAATTGTTGAAAGGGGGGGGGTCTACACAACAAATACTTAATTACGACACCTCGTTTGTAAAAATCCGTCCATTATTAACGGAGGAGTAGTGTTTCGTAGAAATCGCCTTCACGTATTATATATAAGGAATTCCTTATTCTGTATTTATAAATTGAAATTTTAACCAGCTACCTTTTGCAGAATCACAACAATCGGTGTACCCCACTCAGATTGATCCACTTTCTCTATTATGTCTTCCTTTTCCAGTTTAAATAGTTCGTTCTCAACAGCTTCTCGAAGGGCGTGAGGTACCGGTCTGGCTTTCAAGTACACAGGTTTTGAATTATCCTATTCCTGAAACCGCTGATCTTAGTAACAAAGCTACACAGGTCATCACACACCATTCTACACTCATCCTTCACTCATATTTGGGTTAAAATACGCACCTAGGGGGCGTCCCCATCTCAATCATTGATAATTGATAATTATCTAGCAGCTTTATTTGATTGCTGCATATAAAGTAAGACTGTGGTCTCGTGGCTGTGCTGTTAACAAACCAGTTTACCTAATTGTGTGAACAGTGATGGTTGTAGTTCTAGCCCATGAATTTCACATTGCAATGATTATTTTGATATGTTGGTATCTTTTTGTAACATCACTATGATCATTGGTACACTGGAACCAGACTAGATATTTGCTGTTAAGTAACCAAGCACATAAGTGTTTTGGTGTTAATGAACAATTAGATATTTATTGCCAGAAATACAGAGTGTCCTGTTGATTAATTTACCAGATATCAGTCATTTTAAATGTTTTTTTCTAAAAAAGATTAACCTTTGAGTTTGAACTTAGTCAACCGATCTTTTTGAAACTCGGCTTATATGTTAATGTAGATGAGACTTATATTCAAAATTTACTTTGTCTAGTTTATAATTTCAAAATAGCGGCCTTCAAAAATTGTACAAGTCTAATCCAAGTTAGAGTAAAATCAATCTCCGATTTTCATTCCAGCAAGTTTCTTATTCAGGAACCTACAAAACAGTAAACAACAGCTGGGTAATCTATATTCTCTATACATAATACAATACGGGTGTTTTCCTGTGACATCTCTTTATGTGACATAGCCTTAAAATACATTAAAAAGGGGTAAAAAAGGGGAATTAAGTAGAGAGAAGAGAAACGGAGTAAAGAGTAGTTAAACACCGTGAGTGATGGACGCCGAAGACTGGTAGGATGTCGATGACCGGCTTCACTTTGAAATACAATTGTGGTTTAGAGGGGGCCCAACAATTTGATTCCCATCAGAAATGCGATAGAAGCATACACGCCGTCAGGTGAGTTATGGTTAATCTAGTAAAGAGGAAAATAGACCTTACTGTGGTGGGAAATTTGAGCGGGCTTAGCAATCTAGTTTGAATCATAAAAGCAGGAGTCTATTTACAATTGTTATTGAGACTAAATAATAATATTACACTAAAAAAGATGGTGATTTATACCGGGTGTCCCATAATAGGCCCCCTGGTTGATTTTTAAACGGCTGCATATATTCGACACATGTTACTAGAATCAAGAATTAAGAAGTATATTCACCATTAAGTAATACATGATCATAATAGGCTTCATCAGTTATTCATTAAAAGACAGTACCAAGATAATAATAATAACAATAAAGTAAAATCAATATAAATTGAAAGAAGTAACAACAAAATTAATAAACAAGACAAAAACGTTTACAACAACAACAAGATATACAAATACTAGGGTACCGGTAATGTAAAGTACTGTTAAGGGTATTTTGAAATTCACCCCCAATAGGGGTTGCTGCTTAAAATGTTTAAATATCAACCCCTATTAAGTAGCACATCATTAAGAAGCCGCCAACCTCTTTTTTTTTTAAGAAAGAAAGATTTAAAAGGCCATTAGTTTTAAAAATATATCGGCAAAAACCAGAGGTCTCTATCTCAACCCATTACAGAAAGGCAGCCATGTTTTTTTCATCGGCATGAGAGAGACCATGTAAAAATATACACCAATATACCCTATTAGCGTTTTTATTGGTTGTACCAGGGAAACTAAACTCATTATTATTGTAACAAGAAAGTAAAAACTACTTTTTGATCAGTATGACGATTTTGCCCCGTACGGTACCCCAAAATGGGCTATTTTGGGGGCAAAGATTTTGAGCTGCTCTGCTCCCTTTTGGGGTCCCGGGCAAAAATGTCATACTGATGAAAAATAAATAAATATAGGATGGAGAGGACACAGCTAACTCACCTGATGAAAGGTTGCAGATGAGTCAAAGAACACATAAAATCACACACATAATTTACTTAATATTTCGCCTCTTTCAGAGGCTTCTTCAGAAGTAGGCCTAGATGGTAGTTACTACCATCTAGGCCTACTTCTGAAGAAGCCTCTGAAAGAGGCGAAATATTAAGTAAATTATGTGTGTGATTTTATGTGTTCTTTGACTCATCTGCAACCTTTCATCAGGTGAGTTAGCTGTGTCCTCTCCATCCTATATTTATTTATTTAATCCAAGCTAAATGCTTTTTCCTAAAAACATACTGATGAAAAAGTAGTTTTAACTTTCTTGTTTCAATAATAATGAGTTTTTAGTCTCCCTGGCCGCCTAAACAATTAACCTAAAAAATTAAAAAAGGTCGCCATTCTGTAATGGGTTGAGATAGAGACCTCTGGTTTTTGCCAATATTCTTTTAGCCCTTAGGGAATTCATTCTCCCAATAATTTTGGCAAATCGACACACTCTAGCTTCATTTTGATGTAATATATGCCTATAGTTTTATTTGGTCAATGGCCTTAAACAATGACAACAAATTTTACTATCAATTTAATAATATACTGTAAAGATTACCCTCAGATGATTTTCAGAGTATCAAAGATTAGATTATATGTAGATCTTTAAGAAGCTGACAGACCGAGGTATTTTAAGGCGAAGAGGAGTAAGAATGTGTGTTGAATGGATGAAATGACAGCTTTGTTACTAACTAACGTGTAATAAACAAAGTTGAGACTGATATTTGCTGCAGCCTGGATGACGAAGTACTTAGAGTGTTTAGTTCATTAGATTGATTGACTCACAATAAAATATTTAACACTACTTAAATCTTGTGGAGCAGTTTTACTGTTGGGTGTGATTCGGACTATGGGTAACTGTTCTAAAACTTCTCTCTGGACACGAGACACCATAGTTTTTGGTATTCTACATCAAATCGTTACCAAAGAAATCATTCCAGTAAAGCTGCTTTCTGATTTTGGACCAAAAATTGTACTGAGATCACCTCATAAGCTCAATCCTGCATAAAATTGTCAAGGGGTTGTCTTCCTTCTTCTTCTTGTCACTGAACAGTACTTCATTACCGTATTACTTCTCACTATTTCACAGTCACGTAATTTTTTATGATATTCTCCTCTGGTGTCATGAAATGAAATGTGTTTATTGCCCTTTGAATTTTTACAAATTTTTGACAATGTCATAAAACAGCTGTTATAAATACAATATAGCGAACTAGACAAAATGAGACATGTTACAATACACATTTTAAATATTACAATTGATTATTCTTATTCCTAAGAAAGTTTTGTGGTTTTTAGAATAATCGAAGTGATAAAACCCCATTACCAACAAAATCCAACAGTACTTTAGTCAGTTTGCTAACTCTACTTAAAAATTAATGCATTTAAAAAAAATCATTTAGAGAATAGCATGATAATATGGCTTTTAAGAATTTTTGACAGTCTGAAAAAATCTAGTAGCAAAATTTTTATTCCTTGTATTGTGAACATGAGAATTTTGTTTAAGTCGGGATTTTTTAAAATATATGATACAGAGTCAAATAAATAAATTTTAATCACTGTTGGAATTTGTAGCTGAATGAACAAGGGGGTTACAGTGTTCCTGTAGGGATTCATAAGATATAAAATTCCAACCAACTTCTTTTTTAAGACTAAAATTTCCTCTCCATGCTCCCCCCTGCAGTGGAGGACCTCTAGAAGAAGACTTTGAGGGTGATGACGTCAATGAAATTATGAAGAATGAATTCACTCAGGCCTCTATCCCAATGTCTTGTCTTGGCATCTTGACTATCTACAGACAATATGTGTTAAATTCCTTGCTACACATACAAAACAACGTCTCTTCCGTCTCTTCCTATGGAAATGGAAGATTACAAGGTGTTCACTAAACCTACTAGTAGGAGTCACAATTTTTGCAAGCAAGCTCCATGATGCAGTGGTTCGAGAACAACTCGCCGAGTCGAAATGCCAGAAAAACTTAATTTGTAAATTTCTCTAAAAGTTCAGCTGAGAAAAACAAAAACAATTTCCTTTTGAATGATGTTGAGCTCGAAGCAACTGATCAGGTTAAGTTCTTGGAATTGGTGCTCAATAGAAACCTGCGCTTTCCATATTGACGCTGTGAGTAGAAGGGTTTCTTTCATTTTTCATTTTTTTATTTTTTCCTCCCGCCAACTTTTTAAGTTCGCAAAATATGATATTTTAATTACAGCATATTATGGAGTAATTATACCGCACCTGATGTACAGTGTCGATGTGGGGGGTGAGTGTGGGAAAATGTCTTTCCTTTTCCAACTCCTGAAGAGGGTAGTCTTTGGTTTGAAAAGAACATCTTGCAGGCAATACTTAACTTCATTGCAAAGTTTAACACGTTCACTACCGAGCGTCGCCGCGGTCATTGCCACGGACCGAGGTATACAATTTAATCTATACATAGACCGGCTGTCCCTTGGTTAACAGTACACGCAGACCACGGGCGAAAATCTGCTGGGATATCTTGAAATATCCCAAACGTAGCATATATGCGACATTTCATTTTTATTTATGTTTTTATATAAAAGTAAGAAAAAAACAGATTTTTCAAGAACAGTTTATAGTTGAACAAATATAAAAGCTACATAGGATAATGTAGCATACATACAGCATTTACATACATACATTGATGCAGCAAAGTAAATACCCTCACCGCAGCAAACCTGCAGACTAAGCGAATTTCCATTTACCTGGCTGGATTTATACTAAAATATTCCCTAAAAATTGTCAGATTTATTTCCTATTTAATTAACATTAATTTTAGTGAGTATTTAAGTTTGCTGCTACAGGGAAGATATTAAGATGTGTTTTTTTTTTTTATTGCAATGTCGATAGCTTAGTATTAATTAAACAAAATTTCCATTATTCTCCGTAAGAATAACATAGGAATTTTAAATTTACAATTTTTTAATTATCTCCGTAACCGTTGGACATTCAGTAAAACAACGCTTCAATATACAAAATTTTTTCTTTATGTTTTATAAAATGTTTAGTGTAATATGGACCTAACTCCCAAAAATATATGAATGTTTGTCAGAAATACTGTTATCAAGTATATTTTAATTTAAACTAATTTTATTTTTAACTTAATTGAATTTTTTGTAGTTTTTTATGCATTAGATTGATAAAATAAAGCTTTATCGTTTATCGGAACAGGCGAATTTCTTACTTGAGCACTATTTTAAGTTTCCCGCGAGAGGAAATTATACCATTACACACCCATTGGCTGTTCCATTTAGTGTGTTTATCCCCTGCAGTATTGAGCATTCTCCCCATATATCCGTTATTGTTAAACTCTATTATTTCTGCTTACATTGATAAACAATATAAAACAATGTATTGAGTAAAAATTTATTATCAGTTTGAATATATTTTTTGAATAAATTTTGTTTTTAATTTATTGTTCTTTCAGTTTAAGTAGAATAAATATATTTACTCCAGTTGGAACGTCTGCTACTCTGTGAACATTCTCCTTCTGCGCAAGTTTACCAGCTCCGTCTTCCTCTTTCTGCCGTGGCAACTGGAGGTGAGTACTTCTATATTTTGCTCCTCTGAATATTATCCGTGGTAATCCTTTGCTGTAGTGATATTTATTGTTACATTTTGTATTACATACGTGAAGGTATATGTACTATTATTTGCCAATGGTTTAGTTAATTGATAAATCATAAGGATTAGTTAGAAACATAAAATAACTTAGCCACCTTTTGTCTTCCGAATGCCGGTCTATTTAATGCCTAGGGGTTAGTTACCTCCCTTGGTCGTATCTAAACCAACACTTGAAATTTACTCGTCTCAATTTTTAAATGTTTCCGTTTAATCCTCTATTTATTTTCCGTTTACTTCCAATTATTTAAAATTTTTAATATAGACGATGTCAAACCACACCACGTTTCTCTCGACGGCCATGTTACTTGCTCCGATTAGTTATCGATTTCTGAAAATTATCTGTTACAGTTAAGCTTAATGTAGTTAAGTTGTACACCTAATGTTCATTTCCTATGTTGATTTTAAGTTAGTACGTTTAACACTTGCATTTAAAGTTGCCTTCCCCTTAGAAATAACTTGGACTACTTTCGTTCAGATTCCCTTTGCTTGCACCATACGCACTGATACGTCATCATCCGCTAGTACAAGTAGTTACAGAGTAGGCTAAGTGGAATCGTTTTAACTTTGCCATGTGATGATATTAATGTAACTTAACCCTTGGCCTCAAAACTTACTGTAAACTTAGTCAAAACTGAACTTTGGTTTTAACTTACGGTTTTAGCCTAAATAGGCGTAGGCCTACCCTAGTTGTAACTTGAACTTGGTCTTTATCTTGTTGGACCTAGCCTTAGGACTAGATACGAAATGTTCAGCCAATTTTTTACAATTTAGGCCAAGTTGATTCAAGCCTTAGGTAGGATTTAGGCCCTAAATAAAGACTTGGCCCAAGTATAAAGTTAACTTAACACGTTCGCTGCTGACCGCTATGCCGGGACGGTGCCAGGAGCTGAACTAACGCTCGCCGCTGCGTAAACATTGCTGCCGATACACTGAATTACAGTAAAAACCAGTAACTTAGTTGTGCTGTATGGCAATGTTCTGCAATACTGGCTTTGGACATTTAGTACTAAGTGATTCAGATAGATAGCAGCACTACCCAGGTTCCAGTCGGTAAAGTAGTGTCCGCTATCTAGCAGGAAAGAGGTGGGACAAAGCCCTTGTTCTAAATGACCCTGGTGGTGATTTTGGGAAACTTTATTTTTTATTGTCAGGAAAGTCCGTCCCCACGAGCTGCAAAGAAATATAGGACGCTCGTGACGAGCTGGCTGATCCATGGTAACGTTAAACATCAATGAACGGCGACGTTCCTAGCTCCTGGCGCCGTGGCCCGTTTGACGTTCCGGAACGTCCGTAGCAGTGAACGTGTTAAGTTTCCCCAAAACATTATTTAGCCTATGGTGGAAAACCCTCTAAGTAGGTGCCCATAAAAAATCTCTAATGTCACTGCCATTTTTGGCAGTTTTGCAGGTATCCTAAGTTAACTTACATTTTTCAAAAAAGAACAAAAATATATAACTTATAAGCTAATAAGTTAGGGCCTAATTACTTAAACAGGTAGGCCTATAAAAACATTAATAAAATAAATAGTTATGACGAGAAGACCAAAACATGACGTCATGGTTCTTAACCTAACCCCATAAGAATACTTGTTTGATTGACTGATAATCACTCATATGCCTACTTATTTGACATAAAAAAACTCGATGAAATATAACTTACAGTAGGCCTACTGTTTAACTTAAAAAAATTCCTCCTAATAAACTTAGTATTAAGAGCAATTTTGAATGAATCTAACCTTAAAATTGTTAACTTAGTTTCTAAACCGTAAACATCAGAAACCTAAGAGCATACTGTAAGATAATGAAACCAAACTTCAAACATAAGTTCGCTTCATGACAAAGAGTAAAAAACTCTGAAACTAAGTTAGACTTTGAATTCAAGCTTAAAATGTACACTTTCCGTGGTTACAAAGAATTCAATCCGGTTCAGTCCCAACTGGAGTTCATTCAGAGCGAGTTGTGTAGTGTCTGGAACATTGATAGTATTCAGACGATTTACACTAGGCAAAGTTTTCGGGATTCTGACGATTGACACTTGGATGGTTAAAATGAGCTGTATTAGGCTAGCATATGTCGGGTATAATCAAGGCAGGTAGGTTACATAAGTTTGCTGAGAGGACCGCAAATAAATATGACCAAGGCTAAGTTGCTGTAACCTTATTTCGTAGCCTAGGCTTAGCTGGAATTCAATTCAAACTCTCAACTAGGCTAGCAAGTCATGGTTTTGGGGTAGGCTATCACTATACTAACGACCCTAGATGGGTGTCACACATAAATTTGATGTAGGGCGAGTAATTTTTAGCGTCCCACCTTGGTTATGGTGGCTGCCTTGATAGGGTCGTAGTGTTTCATGTCCAAGCTAGTCGGTTTCTTGGAACCCATAGGCTATGTCAAATTTTGTGAAAAGTAAAATGGTCGGCATTTCGTCAAATTTACGTTTTAGTGATACCCTTAGCGTCACACTGTATTGACGATATCTTACGGTATGACTCCTATATCAAATTTATGCATTCTTAAACTTACTGTAGCGTCATACTGTATGGCAATACCTTTCCAAGTTAGGGATAAGTTCTGAAATTTGTATATCAACTTAGTTTGTTAAACATGTCCAGAGGAAAGCCAATTCATCTTTGATGGGTTCAGCTAATTTGTCAAAATCGTGGTAACTTAAGTTAGGCCTAGGTAGCCCACTCAAACTTACAATTGGCATTAGTAAAAAACGGGTCTTTTTATGTCAATGATATTTTTACATTTTTTTACCCTTCACGTATGGGTGGTGAATATATCCGCCTTAGTCTTTGACAAAAAAGGGACGGGTGGTGGATATATCCGCTTATGGTTTTTGATGTTCCGGACTAGAAGCGAATATATCCGCCTTCTCTTCAGAGAGACTGGTAGCTGCTTGAGGAGTTAGAAACCATATGTTTTGCGTAGTTTTTGAAATACTATGAGAATGGAGTGTTTGTGGGGTAAAAATTTGTAAGTGTATGCCAAACATACACAGATAATGGTGTTTTCCGAAGGTCACCTTATACAGCGCTATGTTAGGCGGTTTATTATACAGTTACTTTATACAGGCGGTTATGTTAGGTTGGCTTATCATAAATGGAAAGAACATACTTTTTTACTTACTGTCCACATTTTGGGACATGATTGAAATAAGAGGCCTTTGAGTTCTGCCTCCCGAAAGGCAGCAAAGTCGGGAAGGATTGAGTTGAATGTGTCGCCGTCTCTAGCAGCCACACCATATACAGGCGGTGACAGGTGATGCACTTGCTCCGGTCAACGACCTCACCTTGGTCTACTTGGAGGGGATTTGGCGAGCGAAAGTATGACTCGTCTGGTATTGTTAGATTCATGATAAAACAAGGGCAGTCCTACAAACATGTTTATTATATAATTTTTTTTTTTTAACTATTATTTTTGGTCCCAATTGATTTTGAGATTTTGTTATCCTTAATTTTAACCATTTAGTAGAGAATTCATTCCTGAACAAAGTAAAACAAGAAATTAATTACAGTAAACCTTCGATAGTTTGACACTCCTTGTACAGTAGAACCTCTTTAATCCAAACCCCCGTAATCCGAACGTCCACTAATCCGAACCCCTCTTTGCTGTACTCTATACACAGTACAGCAGTTCTTTATTGTATACTGTATTTAATTTACAGTACTGTTTATTCACCATGTTTACTACTGTACTAAATAAACACTGTATTTTACTTTATAAAACATTTTTTCACTCTTCCCAAAATAATGTTGATCAAATTTAGCCATATTTTAGCTATTGTTATGTAAAAACAACAAACAACAATATGTTCTGTAATCCGAACTATTCAATAGTCCGAACTACCCCTGGTCCCAATTAGTTCGGATTAAAGAGGTTCTACTGTAGTTCGACACGGGCTGAGCTATTGTCAAATGATATTTAATGGTTACTATTGTGATGTAAGCTGACTTGAACAGTGAAATTGTCAAGTTTTTTAGTATTTAATAAATTTGGGTTATTTCTATGTAGGCCTAAAACTTGTGTTTTTACTTTCCTGTATATTAAACTCCATTTACTCCCTATAGTTTGACATTTTGATAGTTCAACACCCCTTTAGTCCACAAAGTGTCGAACTATCGAGGTTCTACTGTAGCTCGGCAATTTATGCATAAGAAATAGGCATGACACGTCGGCACTCAAAGGATTAACCTACTTCAATATGATGATTTTTATATACTTAAATCTTTTGCTATAATAAGGCCTTTTAACTTTTTCCTTCCTAATCAATATTGTCTTTTGTTACCAGCTGTAATGTGCTTTAAATACTAGGCTACTTACTGTCATTGCTAATGTAATAGGCCAAACTATTAAATATTGTGTGTTATTTTTTTTTTAATTCCTTGTTTTTATGTTACAGCTTTTTTCTAATCGTCCACCAGAGTTAAATCAAAATCCACTATGGGTAAGGAAAAGATCCACATCAACATTGTCGTCATAGGACACGTAGACTCCGGAAAGTCCACCACAACTGGACACTTGATCTACAAATGCGGAGGTATCGACAAGCGTACCATTGAGAAGTTCGAGAAGGAAGCCCAGGAAGTAAGTCTTCTTACTCTTAAATTTATGCTCTATCTCATTAATTTAAACTAGAGGTCGTCCAGTGGTCGAAACTTGACCAAAAATATGTAATGTACAGACTTCTCAATTTTCACCCCACACTGTATATAAAACATGTGATTGGAGTTTCTTTCATTTTTGTTTTGATTTTCTGTTTATATTTCGTTGTTATTTTGTCACCAGCATGGCAACTCATAAGTAAGATCGTAGGCCTAAATTTTTTCAAAACTTTTTAGTCTTGTAATGTGCAGTGAACTTAATCTTTTAGGCCAAAGTTGATACTGATTTTGCAGTCAATCATTAATTGACTTAATAACTGTTTGCAGATGGGTAAGGGTTCCTTCAAGTACGCCTGGGTGTTGGACAAGCTCAAAGCCGAACGTGAGCGTGGTATCACCATTGACATTGCCCTGTGGAAGTTTGAAACTGCCAAGTACTACGTAACCATCATTGATGCCCCTGGACACAGAGATTTCATCAAGAACATGATCACTGGAACTTCACAGGTAGCCTACGTCTAACATTTAGCCTATTGCCGTTTTATAATTTTTAATAAATACAGCAAATAAAAGCTTATTTTTGTTGATTCCCAGAGCGATGATTATAACAATATTTATCTGGTGTCTAGGCCTATGACCTCTTGTGATTATAATAATAATTTATGAGCTCTGGTTATCAATAGCAAGTTTTACTGTAAAGGTTTATATGTATGTAATCTCTGCTTCAAGAAGATAGGCCTGCTAAATTACTAATTTCTTTTTTAGATGTAGCCTATTAACTTACTAGGCCTACATATTTTATTATTACATAGCCTTGGTGTTTCTATTGTAATTAGTAAAGGCGGCAATTAGCAGCGACTCAACGAATTGTGAGTAGTGTGGATAGGCGTTTTGTCTATTTGGCAAGCTACAAACATTTGTGCTTGTTGTCATTTTCCGTATTGTTGCACTCATCAAAGTGAACGAATATTTGCTTTAACTGGAACGAATAAAAAGCGAACAGTTGTTCGGGAAACAACTTGTGTGTAGCCTCCTGCTCATTGAGTTATCGGCGAAGGCAAGTCAACTAGAAAACCGAAGGTCAAATATTCCGTGCTTGGCAGATGGCGCATGTGTGAAGCCTTAAATATAGATTTAGTAGCTTAGTTCCTCAAGAGTTTGCATACTGCAAATTTACAATTTTGTAGCTTATGACCATTACCGTTGTTGGTCAAGGTATTTATCTTATACTAAACTGTTAATGCTTTTCCAAAACACATTTTTTTAGTTTCCTTGTAGCAGTAAACCTAGGATCTTGTTAAACCTGTTATTTAGATTAAATTGAAAATCAATTCAGACAAATGGAAATTTGCTTAGTCGGCAGGTTTGCTGCGCTGGGGGTACTGTAGGTTAAAATTAAATAGAGCAAATGATTATATCTGTGCATTGAGATTTTCAATGATATTTAACGTATTCCCCTAATGATGCTCTTTATAGAATGTTTTGCCTAGCCTATCGTTTGTTTTTATTTCTAGCCTGATTATTGTCTCAATTTGTCCTGATGTTGCCATTAGATGGTTAGGCCTAAATAGAAAAAGAGCAAATGATTATATCCGTGCATTGAGATTTTCGATGATATTAAACGTATTCCCCTAATGATGCTCTTTATAGAATGTTTTGCCTATCGTTAGCCTATCTTACTTCAATTTTTTTCCGTTAACTGAATTTGTTTGATTATAGGCCGATTGTGCTGTGCTGATTGTTGCTGCTGGTACTGGTGAGTTTGAAGCCGGTATCTCCAAGAACGGCCAGACCCGAGAGCATGCTCTGCTTGCCTTCACCCTGGGTGTCAAACAGCTTATTGTTGGAGTGAACAAGATGGACTCCACTGAGCCCCCATACAGCGAGAGCCGTTTTGAGGAAATCAAGAAAGAAGTCAGTAACTACATCAAGAAGATCGGTTACAACCCTGCTGCCGTAGCTTTCGTACCCATTTCTGGATGGCACGGAGACAACATGTTGGAGGCTTCCGACAAGATGCCCTGGTTCAAGGGATGGGCCATTGAGCGCAAGGAAGGCAAGGCTGACGGCAAGTGCCTGATCGAAGCTCTGGATGCCATCCTCCCACCCTCCAGACCTACTGAGAAGCCCTTGAGACTTCCTCTTCAGGTAATAAATTGAACTTAACAATAAATATTCCTCTGAATATCAATTCAATTTCCGGATTTAAAAAATTTTGAATTAGCCCATTTTAAAAGATTGCCAAAAGTCTTCTGCATCTTCCTGATGATACAATTTCAGTATCATCGGGTAGTGTCGGGGGTGTTTTTTTTTTTTTTTTCAAACATTGTAGTCTGTTTAATGTGTCCAAATGCTAATTGAAAAATAAAGTCAAATTTTCCGTTGGTAAAATTGTTGACTGGCTCAGTTAAATTAAGGTTGTAAACAGTATCTGTCATTTGTCTTTGCATTGTGTAAAGAGAAGTGGAAATATTTTTACTGTGAAAATAATAGCTAAACTGCTATGGTTCTTATTGCCAGTGCACTTGAACCACGAAGTTTCAGCAACATTTTTGTCATTTAATAAAGACGCCTTAAGTTCAACAGGGTTCAACAAATAAGTCTTTCCAGTCAGGAAAAAGTAGGGGATTTTGAAAGGTCGTGAAAAGGTATAATGAATTTTGGCCGGAGGTCGGGAATAATCTCCTTAAAATTAAGGATGAACGATCCAAAAACTTCAAAAAAATTTGGGATCGTGTATTCCTGATCATTGGAATGGGATTACATTTGATACGGGATTTTCTCGGCACACAATTTGTTCTGATATGTGTTCGCAAAAAATATTTTTGGTATTGCGGCTGCCGATAATTATATCTCCACGATTGTGAGAGATGTTCACTATCATTCTGCGAACCCAAGAGATGATGATATTCACGCTTGCACCCTGACTGCGAGACAAGTCAAAGTAGGTGCTACGAATATGTTAACGATCGTTTCGCAGGTGTGGGACATGTTGACGATGGTGCCGTGACTGCGGGACGGATTAAGAAGTATAGGTACATGGAGAATGGAGTGAGTTTTGGTAGGGAATTTTTTCAATTAATAGGCTGATGTAAAGTTAAAAAAATCTGGTAGACACCCTGTTAAAACTTTTTGTATGATTTGTTTTTAATGTTTGTAAACTAATAGCTTGGAACTTTTTCTGCAGGACGTCTACAAAATTGGTGGTATTGGAACAGTGCCCGTCGGTCGTGTTGAGACTGGTGTGCTCAAGCCTGGTATGGTTGTGACTTTCGCCCCTGCCAACCTGACTACTGAAGTCAAGTCTGTTGAAATGCACCACGAAGCCCTGCAAGAGGCAGTGCCTGGTGACAATGTTGGTTTCAACGTCAAGAACGTTTCCGTCAAGGAGTTAAGGAGAGGGTTCGTTGCTGGAGACTCAAAGAGCAACCCACCCAAGGCTGCCGCTGACTTCACTGCACAGGTATACCTTTCTCTAGAACAAAGAGTTACGATTGGATTTGAGTCATCATAGTTCTTTATTTGCATTTTTGTTACATTATAGTGTTGTAGCGGATTCACGCTAATTGCTTTCTTCACATTGTAATAACAGCTCCTTAATTGGACCTAGCATGTGCTACTACCTGGCTGCTTTGTACACAATCTGTCAAGCTTTCTGATAAAAATTTAACATGTCAATCTCACAGCGTCACAGCCAATGGTTAGCTGAGCTTTGACAACGTGGCAGCACTTCTGCAGATCGATCTGCTGCAGCAACCTTTTTTTTGTCATGTAATAGCGTATTAGCAGACCACTCATTTTGTATAGATGAGTAAAATGCTTAATGGGTTTTTTAAACCAATCCCACGTGATGAGAAACTTGGCTGAATAACCTCTGTGATATTTTACTGATTTAATGAGCCTGATGGGATAATTTGACTTATTGGTCATGTTCTTTATTTTATATTAAGTATCAATATAACTGTCTTTTGCAGGTCATTGTCCTGAACCACCCTGGTCAGATTTCTAATGGCTACACGCCCGTCCTTGATTGTCACACAGCTCACATTGCCTGCAAATTCGCAGAGATCAAAGAGAAGTGCGACCGTCGTACAGGTAATTTTTCTCAAGTGTGCAAATTTAGTAAACACAATAACTAAGAGTACCGGTATCTATATCTTGTCGGGTTTATTTTTAATTTATAAAGACCCACTGCTGCCTAAACAATTGATGAAACCAGTCATTTGCAGAGTTAGGAATATTCTTTACATTTCACTTAACCTTTTTTCTGCATTGTAACATTTTCTATTTAAGTGAAGTTTTTACACAGTTTCGGATCCAAGGAATGTCTAGTTGTGTTGCTTGGCGCTTTAAACTGTGAAGATAAACGCTGATATCTGTTGGTACAATGAAGTTTTTCAACTTCATTTGAGTTGGAGTCAGCTATAATAAATTATAAAGCTAGGCTTGCTCTCTTCCACCATATGTGTGCGTGAGCTCATATGTTTTCTGAACAACTTGCAGGAAAGACCACTGAGGACAACCCTAAGGCCATCAAGTCTGGTGATGCTGCTATCGTTGTTCTGGTTCCTTCCAAGCCCATGTGCGTGGAGAGCTTCCAGGAGTTCCCCCCTCTGGGACGTTTCGCTGTGCGTGACATGAGACAAACCGTTGCTGTCGGTGTCATTAAGGTGAGCCACGATATTTGTTTAAATCTCAATGCCCTCTTTAATATTAATCTGCCCTCAAATGAGAATAATTGTGAAACTTGATGTGTTTGTCATCACCAAATTGTTCACAATCTTGGGCACTCATTGTATTTCTGTTTTATTAAATATATATCTTTGGTGTGATATTCTCTGTAATGGATATAAAACCAAACTCAAACTGCCAATTAATTCAGAACCTGCCTGTAGTTCTGAAACAAATGCCCCAGATAGGTCATAGCTAATCATTTTGTTGTGTTGCAGAGTGTGAACTTTAAGGACTTGTCATCGGGTAAAGTAACGAAGGCTGCGGAGAAGGCCCAGAAGAAGAAATAACTAGCTGTGAATAACAACGTTCCCTTTCGCTTCTTTGTCGGCTGTCTGCTTGGCTGGCACAGGCAGCCATGTTTCCATCGTAAAGAATTCCGGAGGAAAGGCATGTTCTGTCTTTCAAATCTTGTTTTATAATTTTTATTATTTCTCTTGTAAGACTCAAAGACTGAGTTGTTTCTATTTTTGAGTTGTAAAAGTAATTTTCTTTTTAACCTTAAGGACGAATTGTTTTGTATTCAGAATAGCTGGGCTTAAATTGTATAAATATTACCCGAGTTATTTTGAAAACTTATATAAATATCATTTATCTTAATGTCTTGTTATTTTTCACTATGGTGACGATTTAAAATTCCGAATAAAGAAGCTTCATGACATGGAGACATTTTTTGCATTTATATTTTTTACCTATTGGTTTGATCATTTTGAGTTTGCTTGATTAATTTTACACAAACTTAAACATCTGTTCCTTGTATTGTAGTTATCTGTAACTATGCCACTAATAAAGTGTATGGCTGACCTGAACTGTTACTTATTTAGTAGTCCCCAGTGTGTCCTCCAGAATGTCGAATTCAGTGTCAGTAAAGTTTACTCGAATTAGTTGTGATTTAATACAAAATGTGAGGACTGGGGTTAAGTGAGGAAGGTTTAAATTATGATAGAAGGTTATTGTTGAAAAAAATTATTGAACAATCTATGCAGCTACAACTGTCTTGGTACAGGTAGTTACAGCTAAGTTGGTATTTGGGCCTGGCATGGCAGGGGGTGGGTGGAAGCTAGAGAAAGATCTTTCTGCAAACATTCCGCCTCTGACTCACGGGGTTGGCACCTCCAAACGATGACTAACATCATACTGAACTAATAGGAGATGACTTATACGGTGTGGTATTGTTATGAAAACCCAGGGGAATACCTAAACACTCTGTCTGCTTTATTAGTCAGTCGTCAGCTTTGCTAGCATCACAGTGGTTTTTCAATAATTGAATGTGTCTTTTTAGTATAAGGAATATTGTTTGTAATAAAAAATGGATAAGCTTAAATTTGTGTTGTGGAAATTTTATTAAAGGAGAAAGTGTTCAACATAATAATTTTTAACTAATGTAGACATAATTAATAGCATTCCGTGTTTTCATCCATTCCAGCGCCTTCCGCGAGGACAGTTGATGCTACTCGCATGACTGCAGACAATGTTTTTGACATATGTTAGTAGAGAATTTCTATCGATCGGCCAAGTGCCAACTTTGCTGGAACTACCTGTAACATAACTCAATATGAAGTCAATATCACTAATGCATGTTGATAAAAATGCCTACAGTCGGGACCACGTAAGTTTGCAGTTGAGGGAGGAGCCTAATTACCATATGGTTTTGAATGAACCAATGAGAACCGTGTGGTATTGTCAAGATGTGGCAACGTCGCACTAGCCTTGTCTTGTGATTGGCTGCTACCAACTGCAAACTTACGTGGTCCCGACTTAAGCTACATTAAAATCCAAATACAGTTCAACCTTGGTATAGCGAATCTGAAGGTACCGAACTGAATATTAGTTGCATCAAGGATTTTGTTGAAACAATGTTTGTTGACCAGAGCGAGCGAAGCTCTTTTAGATCGGAACTTGTGCCAACTAGGTAATCAGATAACTATAGGTCGGCCGCTTAGAAAACGACCTCCTCCAGCATTGGTTTAGCATTAGCGCGCAGGTCGTTTTCAAAGCGGCCGAACTATAAATAACAACTGAACATATTAAAGCAAAGCCAAACTTTCCAGGGTTATTTTGACTTTTTTGTGTGTGGTTATTTTGACAATCAGTGAACATGTTATTACACAAACCAATTTCAATTTGAAATTAAATGAAATGAAATCAACTTTATTCATACTTTGCAAACATGTGCACGAATGGCGTCATTACATTGAATCAAAATCATAATACTTAATCCTAAAAAAGTACAAGATATAATCACTAATGAAAAAGTTCTTATTCTAATATATTATGTAGGAGGAAGAGTACAGGGGATTGGTTAAAAAGTACATTTTTAGATTATTTTTAAATTTTGTAGTCCTTGTATAGTCCTTTAGTTTTGTTGGAAGAGCATTGTAACATTTTATACCCATATACATTGGTTTTTTTTCAAAAAATTTTAATCTATGTGAAGGTGTTGTATAGTTATTTCTGTTTCTGGTACAGTATTGGTGAGAATCCCCTACCAGTGAGACATTATTTGAATTTTGGACAGTATATAATATACATTGATAGATGTAATAGCTATATACAGTCATATTGTATATAATTTGACTAATGTCTGTACAAATTAAAACTACCGTAATCTAAAATTTCTTATATATTGGCCTTATGGGTTGCCATAATGGTTACCAATTAACACTAGTAAATGTCAATAAAGAAAGACTAAAGACATTAGGTTATGACAAAGGCAGTGGCTATTCGCACGTCAATCTTCCTATGACAAACCATCTACAGTTAGCTAGCAATTTACAAAATACAATACAAAAGAGAACACCTAATAGTGTTCACCTTTAGTCGAGCAAAGTTAGCAGGAAAATATAGGGATACAAGATTTCCTTGAAGAAACTCCACTGCCGCCAAAAGAACCAAGGAACAAGGAGAGGTAATATTCATTCAAAATTGATCAAACAACTTTACTGTGAAAAAGAAGAACTGAACCTGATTGCCTACGACATCCTCCTACAATTTTTGAGATTATACGGACTACAGTAATTACATGGAATCTACTAGTCGTCAGTGAATAGGTTGATGACGCCATGGACCGGAAATATTCACGGATAAACTACAAATTAGATAGGCTCGTAGAGAAGAATACACCTAATGAAGACTTGGATAGGACTAGTACAGGACACAAATTCCAGAAGAGAGTCTTCAACCTTGCAGATGTTCAATTCAGCGAAGAAGGAACGAAAATACTGAACTACAGAATGAAGTACAATTTCCCAATGAAGAAGATGGGCGAAAACCAACTACTAGCTACTGAAGTTGAAGCAAATGTAATACTCCTTTTATCTATGGTAAAATCACTAAGAAACGTAGACCATTATGCCGTTCGGAAGGAAATAAATACAGACATGTTCCTACGGTGAAATGTGTTTGTCTTGACCTAAGGAATAACGCTATATACATATGTCAAGAGAGTTACGGGACACCCTGTATAATGAATGTTTAAATGTTTAATAGAGTATAGTTTGATATTTATAAAGTTCATTTTGGATCAAAACTGGAAACGAGACATTAAAATGTTAGTCAACTGTAGTTTTATCTGTGGTAAAATTGTAGATAATTAAATATATTTTGCTGTTAGTATTCAACTTTTTTTTCTACCGCGCTTAGTTTTGTCAATATTCGGGTTGAACAGAGCAGCAAATCCTCATTTGAAGGGTTTGGCGGGTGCTAGCCACCCGCGGCTGTCATAGTATCGCATTCGCATACCTAATTACTATAAGTCGATTGAATATTCCAAGAAGGTTGTTTCTTATAATTTTCCTTATTGTAGGGATGGACGAGATTGGATTTTTAGTTTGAGACGAGTCAAGATTTTTTATTGCTCATAAAATTTCAAGTCGGGATTTCCCTTCTCATACACAACAAGAAATGTGTGTTCAACATTTTTACCTGATTTTGTAACATTGTTAGATGACTGTTTAAATACAAAAATAATGATAATAGGCAAGAATATTTACAATCTTTTATTAAAAACATCAGCATGAAATTTTTTTATTAATCACGCCTAACTTATTAAAAATGTTTATGATTAGGAAACACAGTTATATCAGTCAGGATAGAGTTAAACTTATCCTAAAATAAAATAAAATCCATATTAATTTTTATAAAATAGTTACTTGTTTTGGCTTTGTTTATAGTAGTAAAACATGCCTCACACTGCTTACACTGAACAAAACTTCTCAAATGATAAAATAATTAAAGTAATATTTATATAAAAGATTTAATTAAATAACGCCTTCGCAAAGGGAACACAACTACAACACACTCCTGTATTGCAGGTATTGCATTGACTTTCTGCAGGCGTTTTTATTTATTTTTTCCTCGCCTCGATTAAAAAGAAATCTTGTCTTATGTAAGGGCTGTGTCACACTAGGCTACTTTACTAGCCGCTAGCGAAATAGCGGCTACTCATAGCCAATCTGACATAGGCAGTAGCGGCTGGTAGGAGTAGCGCGCTAGTCTCATTTCACTAGCGTCGAGAATTGAACATGTCCAATTTTCCGAGCTACTAACTAGCGGCTAGTGAGTCACGTGATTGACTAGCGGCTACCGAGTAGCCGGTGTGACATGTGTACTAGCGTAGTAGCGGCTAGTGGCTGTGCATGTTTGGGTTTGGTTTGTTGTGGAAAAGTTGGTTTCAATTAAAATTTGTGAAAAATGAGTGAAGTGAAGTGGTCCGGTGGGGACATAATTAACTTTTTAAACATTTATCGGAAATAACAATGCCTTTAATTAATTTCAGAGGGATAAATTACATGTACGAAAGTTAAATGCACCTGTCAACAACCTGTTTCCAATGAATGAGATACCATACACATACCTGTATAAATTGTTCCATGACTTCATAAATAGCTTTAAGCACTTCCTGTAGAAATGTAGATATTGTATTGTGTGGCTCTCTGAAAAGATACTGAAGGGATTTTAAGCTGTCACCAGTTGCAAGATATCTTAAAGTTATTTCCAATTTCGTTCGACATGTTATTGCCACCCTCATTTTTGTATCTTGTTTTTGAATTAAAGGAGTTACCAAGGTTAGCAGCTCATCAAACTTTTTTACGGACATTCTCATAATATTGTAGTACGATTTCGGGTCCTCAACAGCTAGTTCTCTAATAAGTGTTCCTGATGCACCCAGCCTGTCTCTTCTCTTAATACACTCTCTTACCCAGGAGCGTTTCTTCTTGTTGCGGATATTTTCAATTAAATCAATACAAACATCACTAACGCACATCAAAATTAAACGCCGTAATTCAACCCGGCTTATACCAACAGACGACATTTTCACAGCATTGACACTGACTGGCTGAATCGCTGCTACTAGGTAGCCGCTACCGACATTTGTTGTATGACAGCTTTTACTAGCGGCTACTTCACTAGCCGCTACTAAATAGCAGCTAGTAAGTAGCCTAGTGTGACACAGCCTTAATGAGATCTAAAATTTCCCGAAATTTCGAGACTTGACCATCCCTACCTTATTACTAATAGTTTTGTAGCAAATATTGGTTTAAATCCAATAAAAAAAATCTTGGTAATATCATATCATTAAATCATATTCATATCTTATAAAATAATAATAATAATAAATCTTTATTTCTCCACAAGTAATACAATAAAATAACAAAGATCTATAAAAACAAATTATTTATAACTTACAATGTAATCAAAACTTATTGTTAATTAATTAAATAAAAACAGTTTGCTTTAACTTGTGAAGAAATACACACCCAAAAGAAGATTTAAACTTCAGTGTGTGGGCGGGAGTCTCAACTAATAC